CCTCCTCCTCCTCACTTGCCCTTTGTGAATGCCTCTAGCTTTGCTTGCACTTGTGAACCTGCTCTATGACTGCTTGTTCTGCTGATTATACCCCACTTTGACTATGGGGGTGTGTCAGATTATAATGCTTGTCCAGCCTGCAGTGGGGTACTCTATAGTGAGTACGGCCCCTTAGGGTTTCCTATTTGTATCCCAACTGCTGCTAGTTCAAACCCTCCTCTTGTTCATTCTGACATGGCTCACGTTCAAATGCACCTATTAGAGCATTTTCGGCTTGGTCCCCGCGCAAAGAAAAGTCCGGCGCCTATGATTTCGACCGTTTTTGCCGACAAGTGCTTACAAAGCGCACTGATCCCTATATGCGTAGAGAAAAGCATTCAACAACGCAAATGTTATTGCATATTCGAGTGGCTCACGTTCAAATGCACCTTTTGGAGCATTTTCGGCTTGGTTCGTGCGCAAAGAAAAGTTCGGCGCCTACGATTGTCAGAATGTTATGTTTGTCTAGCCTGCAGTGGGGTACTCAATAGTGAGTACAGCCCAATTTAGGGTTTGCTATATGTACTCAACTGCTTGCTAGTGAAACCCTCTCCTTCCATTCCTCATTTCTTCACATGGTATAGAGCAGGTTCCCTAGTGGGGACGCTTCCTAGGGCCCACCACTGAAATTTTTTTTTTCTGACCGAAGTGCGAGTCGCCCCTGCCCGAGGCGCGCCCCGTGGGCCGCCCTCTCGTCGCGTCCCCTGCCCTTAGCGGTCCGTCGCGCCCTTCTAGAGGCCCCTCTCACGGCCCCTCGCGCCACCCCTAGCGGCCCCGTCGCCGCCCTTAGCGGCCCCGTCGCCACCCTTCGCGGCCCCGTCGCCGCCCCTAGCGGCCCCGTCGCCGCCCTTCGCGGCCCCGTTGCCGCCCTTCGAGGCCCCTCGCGGCCTCTTTGCGGCCCCGTCGCCGCCCCTAGCGGCCCCGTCGCCGCCCTTCGCGGCCCCGTCGCCGCCCCTATCGGCCCCGTCGCCGCCTCCAGCGGCCCCGTCGCCGCCCCTAGCGGCCCCGTCGCCGCCCCTATCGGCCCCGTCGCCGCCTCCAGCGGCCCCGTCGCCGCCCCTAGCGGCCCCGTCGCCGCCCCTATCGGCCCCGTCGCCGCCTCCAGCGGCCCCGTCGCCGCCTCCAGCGGCCCCGTCCCCGCCCCTTGCGGCCCCGTCGCCGCCCCTTTCGGCCCTGCCTCGACCCTGCCCCGGCCCCGCCCCGACCATGCTCCGTCGCCTGTCGCGGCGCACCGGGGACCCGTGCACCGCCCCCCCCTCTTTTGGGGGGGGGGGGCGAGCGTCGCCCCTTCTGCCGCCTGTTTTGGCGCCCTGGGAGGCCGCGCGTCGCCCCCCCCCCCCCTTCCCCCGTAACCTCCCTACCCGCCGTCCCGCCCTGCCCTGTGTTAGGGTCTGGGGGTGGCGAGTAGGGGGTGGCGGGTGTGTGGTCTCCCCTGCTCCTCCTCCTCCTCTGTCTCCCACTGCTGCAGCTGCCGCTGAGGGGGGTGGGTGTGTGGGAGTCGACGGAGTGGTGCTAGGGGGTGGGGTGTGAGTGAACCTAGGGTGCAGCAGGGGGTGTGTGAAAGGGGGGTGGGATAGTTTGGGGAGGTTGAAGAGGGGTGGCCGCCGTGAAGCCCGCAGCTCCAGTCGCCCGTGAGACCGTTGCGCCAGTCGCCCGTGAGCCCGTTGCGCCAGTCGCCCGTGAGCCCGTTGCTCCAGTCGCCCGTGAGTCCGTTGCTCCTGCCGCTCAGAGTTAGCCGCGGAGCCAGTTACTCCAGTAGCCCGTGTGCCAGTTGCTCCAGTTGCCAGTGTGCCAGTTGCTCCAGTTGCCCGTGTGCCAGTTGCTCCAGTTGCGCCGTGTGCCAGCAGCTTCAGCTGCCGCCCACTACCTCCTCTCCTCTCATAGTCCCTCCTCCTCCACACTTGCCCTCTGCGATAGCCTCTAGCTTTGCTTACATTTGTGAACTTTAAACTGTTGCTTCTTGTACTTGTGCTCAGAATGTGTGGTGACATTGTGATCCACCCTGAGCTTGTTCTGCTTTGCTTGTTGTGCTGATTACACTCCACTTTGGCTATTGGGGTGTGTCAGAATGTTATGTTTGTCTAGCCTGCAGTGGGGTACTCAATAGTGAGTACAGCCCAATTTAGGGTTTGCTATATGTACTCAACTGCTTGCTAGTGAAACCCTCTCCTTCCATTCCTCATTTCTTCACAACGATTTCGGCCGTTTTTGCCTACATGTGCTTACAAAGTGCATGGATCACTATAGGCGTAGAGAAAAGCATTCAACAACTTAAATGTTAATGCATATTCGAGTGGCTCACCTTCAAATGCACCTATTTGAGCATTTTCGGCTTGGTTCGTGCGCAAAGAAAAGTTCGGCGCCTATGATTTCGGCCGTTTTTTTCCGACAAGTGCTTAGAAAACGTTTGAATCCCTATCGGCGTGGAGAAAAGCATTCAACAACCTGAATGTTATTGCATATTCGAGTGGCTCACGTTCAAATACGCATATTAGAGCATTTTTTGCATGATCGTGCGCAAAGAAAAGTTCGGCGACTATGATCTCGGCTGTTTTTGCCGATAAATGCTTGAAAGCGCATAAATCTCTATATGCGTAGAGAAAAACATTCAACAACCTGAATGTTATTGCATGTTCGAGTAAATCGCATTCAAATGCACCAATTAGAGCATTTTCGGCATGGTTCGTGCGCAAAGAAAAGTTCGGCGCCTATAATTTCGGTTGTTTTGTTAACAAATGTTTAAAATGTGCTTGAATCCCTATATGCGTAGAGAAAAACATGTTAGAATCGTAGGCATGAGCAGGAGCCATAGTTAGGTAAGCCCTAGCTAGGCAAGAGAGAATAAGCAAAGGAGGATGTTCACTAGAAAGCAGCAGGATACATATAGGAAACCCTAGGGGGTTGTACTCGCTATAGAGTACCCCACTGCAGGCTAGAGAACAATCACATTCTGACACACCCCCATAGTCAAAGTGGGGTATAATCAGCAGAGCAAGTAGTCCTAGAGCAGGTTCACATGCACAAGTAAAGCTAGGGGCAGTCGCAGAGGGCAAGTGAGGAGGAGGAGGAACTGTGGAAGGAGAGAAGATGGGAGGCAACGACTGAAGCTGCAGAGGCACGGGCACAGGAGCGGCTGACTCAGTGGCTACCGAAGCAAGGGCGACGGACTACTGGAGTAACTGGCTCCGCGGCTATAGACGAGCGGCAGGAACAACGGACCCACTGGCGACTGGTGCAACAGGCTCACTGGCTACCGAAGCAAGGGCGACGGACTACAGGCGCTGCAGGCGACACGATCGCTACCTCCACACAACCTCCTCCAACTGCCCCACACCCTCGACACACACCCCCTGCTGAACCCCTAACTCCACTCCTACAGCACCCCCCTTAAACCCTAAACCCTAGGCTCCCACACACCCACCCCCCTCAGCGGCAGCTGCAGCAGTGGGAGACCAGGGAGGAGGAGGAGCAAGGGGAGTAACACACAACCGCCACCCCCACACTCCTCACCCCCAAACCCTAATTCAGGAGAACGGGCAGCAGTAGGGGTGGGGCACCGTCAGAAGCACGGGGGACAGCGAGCAGCTCAGGGACAGAGAGGAACGGGCCGCCCACGGGCCTGGCACAGCCCGACGAACCGCGCGCAGGCGGCCCGAGCCGCGCGCGGGCCTGGCGCAGCCCGTACGGGCCGCGCGCGGGCCGGGCGCAGCCCGTACGGGCCGCGCTCGGGGCTGGCGCAGCCCGCGCTGGCCAGGACGGGCGACGGGGGACGACGGGCTGGTCCCCGTCGCCCGTCGAAGCGCCCCCCGGGGGCGACGCGCGGACCGACGGGGCAGAAGGCCGCCGCGCGCCTCGGGGCGCACGGCGGGCAGAGAACCGCCGCACGCCCCGGGGCGCACGGCGGGCAGAAAACCGCCGCGCGCCTCGGGGCGCACGGCGGGCAGAAAACCGCCGCACGCTCCGAGCGCGCGGCGGGAAGAGAAATCCGTCGCACGCCACGGGGCGTGCAACACACAGAGTAGCAGCGGAAGCAGCAGTAGGGCCCACAGGCCAGGAGCGTGAGTGCTCTGAAACCATGTTAGAATCGTAGGCATGAGTAGGAGCCATAGCTAGGTAAGCCCTAGCTAGGCAAGAGAGAATAAGCAAAGGAGGATGTTCACTAGAAAGCAGCAGGATACATATAGGAAACCCTAGGGGGTTGTACTCGCTATAGAGTACCCCACTGCAGGCTAGAGAACAATAACATTCTGACAAAACATTCAACAACCTGAATGCTATTGTATGTTCGAGTGGCTCATGTTCAAATACATCTATTAGAGCACTTTCGGCTTGGTTCGTGCGCAAAGAAAAGTTCGGCGCCTATGATTTCGGCTGTTTTTGCCGACAAATGCTTAGAAAGCGCATGGATTACTATCGGCATAAAGAAAAGCATTCAACAACCTAAATGTTATTTCATATTCGTGGCTCACGTTCAAATACACCTATTGAAGCATTTTCGGCTTGGTTCGTGCGCAAAGAAAAGTTCGGCGCCTATGCTTTCCGTTTCCGACAAATGCTTAGAAATCGCATGAATCCCTATATGCGTTTCGAAAAGCATTCAGAATGTTATTGCATATTCGACTGGCTCACGATCAAATACACCAATCATAGCATTTTCGGCTTGGTTCGTCGTCAAAAAAATGTTCGGCGCCTATGATTCCGGCTATTTTTTTCCGAAAATTGCTTAGAATGCGCATAAATCCCTATATGCATAGAAAAAGGCATTCAACAGCCTGAATATTATTGCATATTCGAGTGGTTATGCAGAGTGCACCCGTCAGGTGTATCAATGTACACCTATGTATATCGAGTTCACGATCTACAAAGCAAAGACCAGCCCGCTCGTCAGGTTTTTCCATACAGTTTTGGAGTACGCGACTCCCTTCCCTGCTAACTGACATTTAGCCGGTAGACCTAGCGGAATGGAGGACGACGATTTCGAAGATCTCTACGGCGATGTGGGCGCGGCATCCGTCCCCGCGAGCGGCACCGCCGCTCCGGCTTCCGTGCGACTTGCGTACGACTACGGGCTGGGCGGCGACGACGACCTCGAGGATGCCGACGACGAGGCGCTGCTCTACGGCTCGTCGCTTGCCGCACCACCCGCTCCTGCGATTCCCGTACCCGTGAAACCCGAGCCTGTCGAACAGATCGCACCGCCGTCCTCTACCCCCGCCGAACCTAAGGCGGAGCCTCTTAAGTCTATTGCTATTACCCCGTCGATTCCGCCCCTCGCAACCGCGTCCGCACCCAACGGCCGCGATGCATCCATCCCTTCCCCTCGCACCTCGCCGCCTGTTTCGCCTGCGGCCGCTCCTCCGTCAAATGCCGGAGAAGCTTATGACGCGGACGGCGGAGCGGCACCCGGTGCTTCGTCGACGCCATCAGTTGAAGGATTAGCCCCGCCCGCGACTGGCGGTGGATCGCAGGAGCGTGGGCGCGGCGAGGAGGAGCAAGAGGAGGCGGAGGAGGATGAGGAGGATGCGTTTTACAATCAGCTGTACGGGGGTGGGAAGGATCGTGCAGAGGAGGAGGTGGAGGAGCGCGGTGCGAGCCCCAGTGGCAGCAAGGCAGGCGGCATTGGGGGGAAAAGCCGCGGTGAGGAGGGCGAGCGGGCGGCACTGTGTGCCGACGTCGCTGGACCGACCTCGGACTCCCATGACCTCTCTGCCACCGCCGCCGCTGACGCTGCTGCTGTATCGAATGTGCCTGTAGCGGGAGACGTTGAGCGGCATGACGAAAAAGAAGAGTTTTTTCGGGGGATGAAAGCGGAGGGGGAAGAGGATGCGGAAGTGCGGGAGGCGGAGGAAGGGCGGAAGGACGCGGGCGCAAGGGCGGAAGGTGGTGTGGTCGTGGAGAGTGCAGGGGGAGGTGACGCAGAGGGGGTTAGGGTTGGGACTGGCAGAGTGGGGGACGAGCAGGAGGCAGCAGGGGGGGAGGAGGAGGAAGAAGAAGAAGAGGATTTGGAGAAGTTTCTATACAGCGCGGGGGGCGACGATGATGGTGGGGGGGACGGCGGAAAGGAAGGCGCGGAGGGCGAGCAGAGCCTGTACCCCTTCGCGGAGCTGGAGGCGGAAGAGGCGGAAGAGGCGGAGGCGGCGGAGGCGGCGGAGGCGGCGGAGGAGGCGGGGGAAGCGGAGGCGGAGACGTTACAAGGCAAGCAGGGGAAGGCAGGGGGCGGAGCAGACGGGCGAGGCGGGGACGAGCGGGTCGCTATGGACGTTGATGGGGATGCGCGCCAAGGGCTTGGGGGGCGGGCCGGGGGAGAGGAGGAAGCGGAGGCGGGGAAGCACGAGGGAAAGGGGGAGGGGATGGAAGAGGATGGGGGGATGAAGGCGGACGAGGAAATTGGTGGCGCAGAAGGGAAGGAGGCGGAAGCGGATGGGGAAGGCGGAGCAGAGGGAGAGGGAGGGGAGGAGGAGGAAGAGGAGGAGGAGGAGGAGGAGAGTGAGGATGATGACGATGACGATCTGATCATCGTGGCCAATGACCCGGTGCCACCTGTCGGCGAGTGGGATGAGGGCATGGGGGAGGAGGGCATGTATGGCATGGGCGCAGGGGGGGAGTACGGGGGCATGCCTGGGGGCGCGGGGGGAGGCCAGGGTGAGGAAGGCGCTGAGGGCGGAGAGGGGGAGGGGGGAGGTGGCGCGGGGGGGCCGGGCACCCCGGCAGTGCAGGGGGGAGGGGGAGCAGGGCGCGGGTACCGAGTGACTCCGCCCTCCAAGGTGATTGTCTTGCTCTGCGCTGCGCTGCACCTGTCACTTGCCACCTGTCGCTTGCCACCTGTCAATTGCCACCTGTCACTTGCCACCTGTCACTGCTCGCCATGCCGTCTGTCTGCATCGTGTGCCCTTCATCATCACATCCTCCCTCCCCCAACTCCCTGCTTCCCCGATCCCCGTCCGCCCATGACTCATTCCGCCCCCACCACCCCCCGGCTCCCCTCTTCCGCAGGGCCATTCCCCCATGGGCATGGAAGGCGCAGGCATGGGCGCAACCCCCCCCGCCCCCCCTGGTTCCGCCCCTGGCGCGCTTGCAGCAGGGGGAGGGCCAGGGGGGGGTGCAGGGCAGGGTGGAGGGTGGGCAGGAGGCATGGGGGGGCGAATGGGCGCAGGGGGGCCCGCAATGGGGGGAGGGGCGGGGCAGCAGGGGCAGTACCAGCAGCAGGGGGGCGGGCAGGGGGGGAGGCCGCCGGCAGTGTGGCAGCATGGGTCGGGGCGGGGGTATCACATTGAGATTAACCTGCCGCCCACCAAGTCAGTGCCACTCTAGTGAAGCCCCCTTTATGATGCCATTACCGTTCCCTCCAGCTGCCAGTCAAAACTTCTTTAGACCATTCTGAAACTTCTGTGACCATTGACTTTGGTTGACTCGTTTGACCGTGCAGGATGGTTGCTTACATGTTAACATTGTCCCTCTTGACTCGTTTGACTCGGGTTGACTGGGTTGACTGCGTTGACTGGGTGCAGGACGGTGTTTGACCTGGACATAGACAGCCTGGAGGACAAGCCATGGCGGCGGCCGGGAGCGGATGTGAGCGACTACTTCAACTTCGACCTCAACGAGGGCGCATGGCGCCACTACTGCCACCGCCTCGTATGCTCCTCGCTTCCCTTCCCTCCCCACTACTGCCACTGCCTCGTACGCTCTTCCCTTCCCTTCCCCCACCCTTTCCCTCGCCCCCCCTCGCATTTCCCCTCGTACTCTCTCCATCCACTCTTCCCTCCCCATCCTCTCATTCCTCCCCTCCTCATCTTCCCCACACGCCTTCCACCCTTCCCCCCTCCCCCCACCCCCCCCCTGCCAACAGGCACAGCTGCGGCTGGAGGCGAGCATGCAGAGCCGCATCCCCGTGTTTGAGTCGCGCATGCCCACTGAGGTGAGCACTGCACTACCTCACGGTCAACGCCAGTCAACATTAGTCACTGCCAGTCAGTCAGTACTTGCATTGCAGCATACTCAGTGCTCTAAGTCAATGCGAGTCAACGCAAGTCAACCGCAGAGGCATCACGCTGTGGTGCGACCCATCCAGTGAGCAACACAAGGTGGTGCAGGTCGGGAGGAGTGGTAAACGTCTCACAAACCCCCCACCCCTCTCTCACTCACGCCAGCCTCCTCTCCAACCTGCCCCCTCCCGACCTTGGCAGGACATAGACCCAGAGATGCCGCCCGAGCTGGTGACAGCTGTCACACACGCCATGGTCAGCCGCCCGCACGCCGACGCCGTCTTCTTTGTCGAGCGCCGCCCTTCCTGGGAGACACGCCGCCCGCGCCCTGTGGATGCTGACGTCATCATCGAGGTGAGGCGACTGCTGACGTCATCATAGATGTGAGGCGTCTGCTGACGTCATGGGAACATGAGGCACATCATTCATCCATGATGGTGGCTGCATGCCATGGTGATTAGGTTCCTGCTTCCCCATGCACACCACTGCGTCCCATCCCCCAGCTCAGTGCTCCCCTCCTTTCCCTTTCCTTGCCCTCATTCCCCCCCGCCCCACATGGCCTCCCGTGTGCGCGCCTGCAGGTGCCGGTAGTGGGATTGGCCATGGACGCGCCTCCACCACAGCCCCCTCCCCCCGCCGGCCCTCCTCTTGCTGCCGCCCCCCATGCTGCTGCTGCAGACGCGCACAGGGGGATGGGCGCAGGGGGGGGAGGGGGAGGGGCAGGGGCAGGGTCAGGCGGAGGGGGAGGACCTAGTGGCAGTGCAGGGGGGGGAGGTGGGAGGATGCACGGGGAGGGGCAGGGAGGCAGGGCGGTATCAGGGCAACAGGGCGCACCTGGGGGAGGGCCAGCGAGCTCAGGTGGCACCCCAGCTGTTTCTTCAGGTGCCGCTGCTGCTGCTGGCCCGCCCTCCCGTGCTGCCTCTGTGGAGGGCGCATCTGGCGCAGTGGCAGGGGGAGCAGGGGGGGGACCGCCTGGTGCCTTACCCCCGCCTCCCCCTCTCCCTCGAGGCCAGCATCCCCCCTTTCCCCCCATGTTCCCAGGGGGACCCGATGGCATGGGCATGGGCGCGGGCATGGGGGCGGGCATGGGGGCAGGGATGGGGGCGGGGATGGGCATGGGGGGGAGAGGCATGGGCATGGGGCGTGGCGGAGTGGGGGGGTTTGGCATGGAGGGCGGAGGGAGGGGGCGAGGCATGGGGCCAGGCGGAGGGCACATGATGAGGTGAGCAGGGGGGGCATGCTGTTGGGGCGAGAGAGTTACGGTGGTGAGGGGTGTTGATGTGAACTGGTATGATACGGGCGGTAGGCCATGTCTTGTAAGGTGGCGAGAGTGGTGTGGAGTGGTGTGGTGTGGTGTACTGCGCATGTTGTCTCCCCACATGTTGTCTCCCCACATGTTGTCTCCCCACATGTTGTCTCCCCACATGTTGTCTCCCCACATGTCCGCATCTCCCCACATGCCCCATCCTCTCCCCATGCCACTGTCTCCGCACATGCCCTTCTCTCTCCTCTCCCTGCACCCTGCCATTCCCCTTCCCCTCCCCCCTCCGCATTTACTTCCCCCCACGCCCACGCTCCCCTCCATTCATCTACTCACTCCACCCTTGCTCCCCCCAACCCCCTCCCCCCTTCTCCCCCCTCCCCCAGGCCCAGTCCGCCCATGGGCATGAAGGGGGGAATGCTGCCCCCGCACATGCTGCCCCCCCATGCGCACCCCATGTTCCTCCGCGGCCCCCCTGGGGGCGCTGGCCCCATGGGCGGACCCATGGGCGGAGGCATGGGGGGAGGTATGGGCGGAGGCATGGGGGGCGCAGGGGGGCACATGGGGGGAGGCGGCAGGCGGGGAGGATTCGATATGGGGGGCGGAGGGGGGTTTTCCGGGGGGATGGGCATGCACCGGCCCCCTCTTTCGCCGTCCCATGCTGCCAGCTATGCGACTGGGGGGGAGAGCATGGGGGAAGGGGAGGGGCGCGCAGGGGCAAAGTCAAGGCGCCAGGGGAGGGGGAGGGGGGGGCGGGGGGATGCAGAGGAGGAGGATGAGGAAGGGATTGGGGAGGATGAGGGTATGGGGAGGAGGAGAGAGGATAGGAGGAGGGGGCAGAGGGACTGGGAGGAGGAGGAGGAGGAGGAGATTGAGAAGGGGAGAGGGAGAGAGGGCGGGAAAGGGCGAGGTTGGGACGAGTATGGGGGCAAGGAGAGGAAGAGGAGGAGAGTGCGGGGGGAGGAGGGGCATGAGGAAGCGGATGAAGAGTGGGAGGAGGAGAGGGGACGGCGGGGGGAGTGGAGGGGGAGGGATGGCAGGGGGGAGAGGGAATGGGGGAGGGAGAAGGGGGGCCTGTGGGGGGAGAGGGACCGGAGGGGCGGAAGGGGAGGAGAAGGGGAAGGGTATGGGCGGCGGGCAAGGGGCATGGGGAGGGAGGATGGGGGGTTTGGGGAGGGGCCTATGGGGGGAAGGGAACGAGGGGAGGAGAGGCGGGGGAGATTCAGGGGGGAGGAGGAGGGGCGGAGGGCAGGGGAAGTGGGGTGGCGGAGGGATGGGCGCGAGGGGGGTGAGGGGGGCCGAGTGTCGGGGTTTGACAAGCGGGGGGGGGAGTTTGGGGAGGGGAAAGAGGGGAGGCGGGAGAAGCGGGAATGGCCCGAGGAGAGAGGGGGCGATGAGAAGCGGAGGCGGGGCGTGGGGCGCAGGGGAGAGGACGACAAGGGAGGGGAGTTTGGGCGTGCCAAGGGAATGCGCGGAGGGGGCGAGTGGGAGGAGGAGAGGGAGGAGTGGGATGGGTGGGGAGAGAGAGGCGCGTCTGTGGAAAGGCGGGGGGGACGGCGGGGCGAGGAGGAGGGGAAGAAGCCTAGGCGGGGGGGACGCGAGGAGTGGGATGAGCGCGGATGGGAGGAGAATGTGGGCAGGGGGGAGGAGCATGCGGGGAAAAGAGGGAAGAGGGATGGGCGGGAGGGGAGGCAGTGGAGGGAGGATAGGGAGAGTGAAGGAGAGGAGGACTGGGCAGAGGGGAGGCATGAGGAGGGTGCGAGGGGGAGGGGCATGAAGGAGAAGCGAGGGAAGGGAGGGATGGAGGAGGCGAGGGGCGGAAGGGAGGCGGATGGGGAAGGGAGTTGGGCGTCTGGGGGCAGGGAAGGGCGGAGGGAGGGCGGAAGCAGGCGGAGGAGAGGTGGCTCGAGTGAAGGAGGGGAGGAGCTGGAGAGTGGAGGGGCGAGGGGCGCGCAGAGGGGAGAGGGCAGGGCAGAGGAGAGGGCAGCAGAGAGAGGAGAGGGGAAGGGCGGAGGGAGGGGTAAGGGGAAGGGGGCTGCGGCAGAGAGGGAGGAAGGAGGTGAGGGCGAGAGGAGGCGGGGGCGGAGGGAGAAGAGGGAAGAGAATGAAAGGGATGAGGAGGATGGTAGGGAGGGTCGAGAGCAGAGCGAGAGAAAGGAGAAAGATGGAGAGGAGAGAGGGGAAGAGGAGGGTAGGGAGGGTAAGGAACGTGAAGGAAGAGAGGGGGAGCAGGAAGATGAGGAGGAGGAGGAGGATGCGGGGGGGGACGCGGTGGACTATGGCAGCATGTGGGACGCTGATGGCGAGGGGGATGTGGGGATGCACCCCATAGAGGGTGGTGGGGGTGACAGGGGAGACGGGGCGGATGGGGTGGGTGGGAAGGGTGATAGGGGTGAGAGGGATGAGAGGGGTGGAAGGAATGGAGAGGGCCGGGATGATGGAGACAGCGATGGGGAGAGCGAGAGGGAGGGCAGGGGGAATGACGTGAGGCGGAAGGAAAGGGGGAGAGAACGGGAGAATGTGCAAGAGAAGGGCAGGGAACACGAGAAAAAGGGGAGGAAGGGGCGGGAGGGGGAGGAGGTAGCAAGAAGAGAGGCAGAGGAGGAGGGGCGTGGCAACACAGTCATTGAGCGCCCTCCCACCCCAGTAAGTCCGTGCCTCCACGCACCCCCCATCACTCCGTCGCCTCGTGACCTCACCATCATGTCATGTCGTCACCCCGTCGCCCCTTCACCTTGTCGCCCCTTCACCCCGTCGCCCCTTCACCCCGTCGCCCCGCCGTCCTTTCACCCCTTCGCCCCATTGCTGCATTGCCCCATCAAACCATCACACCATCACCCAATCACCCCTGGCCCACTCTCGTTCTCATTGCCTTTCCCCACACCCTCACCTCCCCATCCCCCCCTCTCTCCCCTTCACCCTTCCTCTCCCCCCCATGTCCGCCCTCCTCCCTCCCCTCTCCCTGACGTCAGACTGTTGACATTGACGATGCTGACGTGGCAGTGCCAGCTGGCGCGGAGGAGGGGGGAGAGAAGGAGAGGAGGAAGCATGGGGAGCAGCCGGGAGAAGGAGGAGCGAGGGAGAGGGATCGAGGTGGTGGGGCCGGGGAGAGAAGGGAGAGAGGGAAAGGTGGGGAGGAGGGTGACAGGGGAGGGTCGGAGGGGGAGGGAGGCGCAGGAAGCAGAGAGAATGGTGGGGGAGACGAGCGAGAGGAGCAAAAAGGTGGGGAGAGAGGAAGGGAGGAAGCAGCAGCAGGAGGCGGGGAGGAGGAGGAGGAGTATGATGATGAGCTGGCGTTTGAAGGGGAGGACTATGGTGACGTGTATGAGGAGGAGGAGGAAGAGCAGGAGGGGGATGAGGAGGAGGAAGGGGGCAGGGAGGGCAGGGAGAGGCAGAGAGGCAGATGGACACGGGAGAGGGGTGATGATGATGCTGATGGTGCTCATGGTGCTGCTGCCTCTGGCGCCGGCAGACGCTCCTCCCCCCATGCGCACACTCTCCTGCACGAAGGAAGGTTCCATGAAGGCGGGAGGTACGGCGGAGGCCGGGGCAGGGGCGGGAGAGGAGGGCCAATGGGTCCTGGGCACATGCATGCCCATGCAGCTGGACATGCGTATGGGGGCAGGCACGGGCGGCATGGGCGAGGCAGATGGATGGGGGGCCGCATGGGGCCCAGGGATATGGGCATGGGGATGGGTATGGGCATGGGAATGGGCATGGGTATGGGCCCGGGTATGGGGGTGGGCATGGGTGGGATTGGTCCTGTTGCGAGTGGGGGAGGTGGCATGGTGAAGGGCGGGAGGATGATTGGTGGGGGTGTGGGGGGAAGGGAGGAGTATGGGCATGGGCCCCCCATGGGCTATGGGCGAGTGCCTGTGGATGCGCCACTTGGCAGGATGGGAGTGGACGGTGGGGGATTCGGCAGGAGGGGAGGGGAGGTGCTGGGTCGAAGGCAGGAGGGGGCGAGGGATGGTGGGGTGGGGATGGGAGAGAGGGAGGAGAGGGATAGGGAGGGAGGGGAAAGGAGGGGGGCGTGGAGAGAGGAGCGGGAGGAGAGAGGTGAGAGGGGGGAGAGGGGCGAGAGGGGTGAGAGGGTGAAGGAGAAGTGGAAGGAGGAGCGAGAGAAGGAGAGGGGCTTAAAGGAGGAGCGTGGAGGGAGTGTGGGTCCGGAGTCAGATAGGAGTGCGCGGAGAGGTGTGAAGGACGAGAGGGGTGAGAGGAGGGAGAGAGGTGAGCGGAGGGAGAAGGATGAGAAGAGTGAGAAGGGCGAGAAAGGTGAGAGGGGTGGACGAGGGGATAAGGGGGAGAGGGGGGGGCGAGAGAGGGAAGAGAGAGAGGGAGGAATGGAGAGGGTGAGTGAGGAGGGGAGAGGCAGGGATAGGCACAAGCAGAGGGGGAGGGAGAAAGTCGGGGAGAAAGAAAGAGGAGAGAAAGAGCGGGAGCGAGAGAGGGGAAGGGAGAGGGGAGCAAGTGTGGGTGAGGAACGCGATAGGGAGGTGGCAGGCAGGGGGGAGGAGAGGGCGGGGATGAAGGCAGACAAAGAGGGGAGGCGAGGCGAGAGGGACGGGTGGAGAGGTGGTGAGGGGGTGGTTCGAGAGGGGGCCGGGCGAGAGGGTATGGGCCGAGAAGCGATGGGCAGCGAGGGTGCAGGCAAGGAGGGGCCTGTGGTTGACCTGCGGGCGAAGCTGCGCGAGGAGAAGGAGAAGGGGCGTGGTGGGCGCGGCCGGGACAAGGACGTACGGGACTGGGAGGGCGACGAGCGGGAGGAGAGGAGCCGCGAGCGCGGGTGGGGGAGGGATGAGAAGGAGAGGGGCAAGGAGCGAAGCAAGGAGAGGGGAGGGGGCGGTGGGATGGAGGGATTGGGCGAGGCAGCAGGGGAGAGGAGACGTGGAGGGGAGGCACGCGAGGGGGAGAGGGGCGAGCGACATGCACACAGAGGCGTGGGTGGTGCTGTGGAGGACGGCAGGCGGACAGGCACCGCGCCCCGCTCGCCCTCACCCACTGCTGCTGACACCACTGGCGCTGCAGGTGCTGGTGGCGGTGGAGTGCGGCGCAGTGCGGTGCAGCGCACGGATGGGCACCTGGTGGTGCAGGTGGGGGGCCGCACGGGGGAAGGGGCCGCGGACAGGCGGGGAGGGGGGGCGTGGCGGGAGAGTCAGGGCCACCTAGTGGTGCACGTGGGGGGTGGGGGCGGGGGAGGGGATGGTCGCAGGGCGAGTGGGGGGGAGGAGGGTGGTGCAGGCGCATATGGCGGGGCGAGTGGTGCAGGGGGGAGGAAGCGCAAGTCAGATGACGGTGGGGACAGGCGCGGTGACAGGGAGGGAGCGAGCGAGGGAGGGGGGGGAGTGGGGATGGGGGGAGAGGCGGGCAGCATGGCAAGTGGTGGGGCAGGTGGCAGGGCGGAGGGGGAAGGGGCGGGAGGAGGGGAAGGCAAGACGGAGCGGCCCGCACGCAAGAGGCGGTGGGCATGAAGGTCAGGGCAAGGGTGGGTGGGGTGGGGCGGTGGTGAGGGGAGCTGGGGGCTTGCGAAGTGCAGGAGTGGCGAATGCCAGGACAGGTGAGAGGGGGATCAGGGATAGCCAGGGGATAGGGGGGGGTGGAGGAGGGGTGGAGGAGGGGTGGTGTGGTGGCAGTGGTGGTGAGGCACGAGACGGGGCTGCGTGGTGGTGTGGGGGAGTGTGAGGGCATGCCCCCTGTGCGCCCCACATGTCCCTGTGCACTGTTGGCGGAGCATCATAGCATCATAGCAGTGGGCAGGTCCGTGTGCGCCGTTGCGTTGCAGCGCGTGCGCATGCGCATGCCCCCGGCAGGCACGTTGGCGGAGCATCGTAGCTGCTCATGCGGGTGGCGCGTGGTGCAGAGAGTGTGCGATGCGGAGTGCGCTATTGGGGCGCGTGGGGAGGCGAAGTGTGAGTGGAGTGACAAGGGCGTGGTGGAGGGGAGAGAGGCTGCCATGCTGTGTGTGTGTGGTGCCGTGTGTTACTGGGATGCTGTGTGTGTTTGCTGCCGTGTGTTACTGGGATGCTGTGTGTGTGTGGTGCCGTGTGTTACTGGGATGCTGTGTGTGTGTGGTGCCGTGTGTCTGGGATGCTGTGTGTGTGTGGTGCCGTGTGTTACTGGGATGCTGTGTGTGTGTGGTGCCGTGTGTTACTGGGATGCTGTGTGTGTGTGGTGCCGTGTGTTACTGGGATGCTGTGTGTGTGTGGTGCCGTGTGTTACTGGGATGCTGTGTGTGTGTGCTGCCGTGTGTTACTGGGATGCTGTGCCAGCTGCAGCCCGTGAGGGCCTGCTGTCCCACCATGCTCTAATGAGCAACCCACCCAACCCCGCTTGTAGCACCCTCTGCCGTCTTGCAGCCTGCCTCAGGCATCCGCCACCCTGCGACGTGTTAGCACTCTGTTTCTTGTGCCTGGATGCTCTGGATCGACCTTGACTGACCGTTGACTTGCTTGACTTTGTTTGACTGGACACATGCATGTTTGCGACTCGGCGTGTGCATTACTCTTAAAGGCTGCTGCATGTGTAGTGTTAGGCATGTGCTGTGCATAACTGTGGGTCGTAGGTGTAGGCTAATCTGATGCAGGGTCCAGTCCAGGGTGCATGCGTAGCATGTGTGCAGGTGGAGCAGAGGATTGAGTCGAGCATGTGCCACAGCACAGCACGCACGATGCCGCGTGTGTGAGGTGAGGGGCGTCAAGGGGCCAACAGCACAGGGTAGGGTAGCCACCGGGAGGCCGGCTCAAAAGGGTGCAGGTCTCATAGCAGCCCCGCCCATCGAAGCAGCAGTAGAGACTCTGTCACTTAAAGCTTCAGAGCTGGCACACTAAAGCCAGAGCAGAGCACACTAGGGTGCAGATCAGTTGGGTGCTGCTGCACTGGCCATCATCCAACACAAGCAAGGAGGTCGGGGTGGAGACCGGGAGTGCAGCAAGCAATGACCACTCCCATTGGACACATGAGGCACCGCTGCTGCTGCTGCCACGTCTATACAGTACTAGCTCTAGAATCTGCCGGGCACACGCAGCATAGGTAAAGGGCAGTAGAATGGCTCCCGTGCAGCAACTCTAGAGACTAGCTCTAGGGCAGCAAAGAGATGTAGGCAGGATGGCGTGTATAAGCGTGTGGTGTAGCGTGGGATCTGGCAGCCTAGCCCCCTCGGGGTACCATGTGCTTACAGGAGTGGGTGAAAGAAGACGGCCGTTAGGGATGACATGACAACAGTGATCTGGCCTAATCACCAATCAGTGCAGCTACACAACCGTAGGCTGTTGCTAGGCCCATATATATTAACATAATTGCCCTTACGGCCACAATATGGGCAGCCAGTGAGTGCAACGGCATGAGGGCAGTGCAGAGGGTGATGAGACGTGCATGGGCGAGCTGGGTGATGATGTGCCGAGGAGAGCAGGCGTGCGATGGGTGCACAGGGTGGGGGTCATGGCATGAGCGCTGCGATGTATGCCAGTGATATCAGCACCGCCTCCTGCATGCATAGGGTGGGGGGGGGAACGGATGAGGCATGGCATGGCATGGTATGGTAGTATGGTATGGCATGGTATGGTATGGCATGGCATGGTATGGTATGGCATGGCATGGTATGGTATGGTATGGCATGGTATGGTATGGCATGGCATGGCATGGTATGGTATGGTATGGCATGGTATGGTATGGCATGGCATGGTATGGTATGGCATGGCATGGTATGGTATGGCATGGCATGGCATGGTATGGTATGGTATGGCATGGCATGGTATGGTATGGCATGGCATGGTATGGTATGGCATGGCATGGTATGGCATGGCATGGCATGGTATGGTATGGTATGGCATGGTATGGGAAGGGGCATAGTGCATACAGAGAGTGAGGGCCGTCACCGCAGCAACAAGTCTGAGCGTGCACCGCACTGCACCGCATTGCACCGCAACGAACACATACAGCACAAGCCACCCATACCGCATACCCATTCCATCCACTCATGCAACACAAGCCCAGCGCTCTCACTTCACCCTGCCAGGCTGCCACTCCCCCCTTCCCCAACAACCCCCACATTTCCCCCGCCTCGCCTCACACCCCAACCCTCCTCCACTCCCCCATCCATTCCCACACTGCACCATTCTATCCCCCCTCAAGAGCGCACCTCAGTGCGGATGGTGCGCGAGCCCTGGGCGGGGCACGTGTTGAGGTACAGCTGGCACAGCTGCCTGGGGTCCCTGCCGTCCGCAGCCAGCCCCTCGTCGCCCTCACACGCCTCCTCCAACCCCGCCACGCCCCCAAACACCACCAGCAAGTGCCTGCCAGCAGGGGAGGGAGGGTGCGGCGGGAAGGAGGGAGAGGAGAGGACATGGAGGACTGGCACAGAGGAGCAGAGGAAGCGAGTTTTGAGACGTGAGGAGCAGTGAGGAGGGGAAAGAGGGGGGGTATACCGGAAGGGTGGCAGTTTGAATTGGCCGATCTCCTTCACATCCCCGTGCTCCGATGTCCCTACGATCAGATCGTACGCGCCTCCCCCCCCTGCTCCTCCCCCTGCTCCTCCCCCTTCTGCTCCCGCTTCTCCCCCTCCTCCCTGCCCACCCTCACCCCCACCCCCCTCCCCATACAACCCTCGCTTCGCCCCTCTCTTCCTCCCCCCTCGCCGCCTCCTCTTCTTCCCCCGCCCCTCCTCACCCTCCTCCCCTCCATCTCCCCCGCCCTCCCTTCCCTCCCCTCCTTCCGCCCCTTCCCCCTCCCCCCCACCCCCACTCCCCCCCACCGCAGCAGCATCAGAGCTGCGCCCCTCCCCCGCCCCTTTTCCCCCGTGCCCCGCGCCCCCTGCTCCCCCCTCCGCGGAGGCAGGCGCGGGGGAGAAGGGGCAGGCGGAGAGGGCACCAGAGACGCCCCTGGCAAGGCGCACAGTGTACCCCCAGTACTGCCCCCTCTCCCCCCACGGCACATGCGGGGCCACGGGCGTCAGCAGCACTCCTGGGGGGGTGTTTGAGGGGAGGAGGGAAGGAGGGGTGCAGAGATGGATTGATGGAGGTGGTGAGGGTAGTGGAGGGAGGCAAGGAGAGAGGGAGGGAGGGAGGGAGAGGGGGCAGTGACGAATGTGGTGCAGTGTGCATCCCATCCCATGAGCCGCCTCACCAATGCACCGCTGACCTCCCCACTCTTAAACACATCCCATCCTTCAATCCCCCACCTCCACTCCACCCCCCTGCACCCCTCCGCACCCCCCCCCCCCCCCCCCCCGGCCCCCCCCGCCTCCCCCTCACCTGGCTGAAACACCTTCTCTCGCTCAGCCACAGGCCCCATGGCCACTGTCAGCCGCGTGCCTTCCGAGAAGCTTCCTCGCACACGCACCCTCTGCCATGGATGTACGCACATGGGGTTTTTCAGAAGGGGAGGAGGCAGACATGTGGGAATGTGAGAATGTGGGAATGTGAGATTGTGAGAATGTGGGAATGGGGGGATGTGGGAATGTGGGGATGTAGGAGTGTGGGAATGGGGAATGGGGGGAGGAACGAAGGGGGATGGCAGGCGAGTGCAGGAGAACGGGGCAATGCATTTCAAACGGCCCGCATTCCTCCCTCTGCTCTACAACAACTCCCCTTCCTCCCAACCCCCAGCTTCACTCCCCCCTCCCCCCCACCTGCTGCAGCCCCACGTCCACGGCGCAGCTCCCCCCTGCGCGCGCTTCTCCCCCTTCCCCCTCCCCGTCCGCCACCACGACGCCCTCGCGGAACTCCGGCCACTCGTGCATGCGCGCGTGGTGCGGCGCGTCCAGCGGCGGCAGCAGCCCCGCCAGGCGCAGGTCGGGCGTGAGCGGGATGAGCGCGCGGCGGAGGTACTGCGGGGTGTCGAGGTACTGTAGCACGCGCGCAAGGAAGGATCCCGCGGACCCCGAGAAGCGCTCCCCGCGCCACCCGCGCGGCGCGCTCGAGTCGCCCTCCGCGTCCCAGTCGTCGTACACGACAATCTCGTGCACCTTGAAAATGACGGCGGCGCGCGCGATCTGCCCCGCTACCTGCGCCGGGGGTTGGGGGATTAGACGAGACGATTAGCTGAGTACGACAAGAAGAATCGACGGACAAGCGATGATAGCGGCGTGTTGAACATGTTATGCCGGGCTGAACACGAAAGGGTGTGCGAAAGAGAAGGCGCGCGTGGAGACGAGGGTTGAGGGCTTATCGCGTGGAGACGAGGGTTGAGGGCTTATTGCGGGGACAACGAGGCCACAGGCAGCGCTTAGGAGCTCACGGTTCGAGATTTAGGAACGCCATCTCCGTGTGGGGGGGGGAGAGGGGAAAGGGGGGGGGGGGGGGAAGGGAGGGATGGAGGGAGGGAATGCGCGAAGAAGCAGCGGAATGCGCGGGAAAGCGGCGGGGAGGAGGCGTACGGCGGTGGCGCGTTCGAGCGACTGCGTGTTGTCGATGATCGACCCCGGCACCGCGATCGATACCGTCGGCCGCTGTCCCCCGGCTGGCTCGTTCGCCTCCGCGTCGCCCCCCATCGTTACGTTGCTGCGGGCGTGCAGGATTGGAAATGGCTCGGGGTTTGGGGTGAGCTGGGGATCCGAGAGGGGCCAATTTGTTTTGTGAGTGCAGTGGAGAAGAAACCCATGCAAGTATCACAGATTCAATGCGGTGCAGGACAGACATTTTCGAAGGCAATTTGCGACCATACAGCACGGCACGCCACGAGCAGGAATTGATTCGCCCACGGCTCAACAATGGTCGCAGTGTGAACGCGGCAACGCAGCGCTCTGCTGCCTCAGTTGCGCCTGCGCCGTCCACCATGCAACTAGCCACGAGATTCACGACGCCCCTCGCCCACCGCGCCCGCCCGCCATCCGCGCTTCTCCGCGCGCTTCTGCCACGCGCCCATGGTCACTTCTCTTACAGTCACACGTGCTGCCCACACTCCTTTTCGCCGCCCCTCCAATCCGCGCCCTCCTCTCGCCGCAATTCGCTCCATGCTTCTCGCCCCTTCCGTCAACGAATAATCACACTAGCCGGCAGCGAACGACTGCGCGATAGTCCTGCCGACCGATTAGTTTCAGCGAATTCTTGGTCGCAGTTATTGCCGTCAGCCAATGACGGGGTGCCACGTGTCCTTTGCCGGACGGAGCGCGCCTTGGCCTGGCTGGCGCGAGAGCTGGCGGAAAGAATTGGCGGAGAGGGCGAGGGGGGGAGAGACGGCGAGGCGCGCGGATCGGGGGAGCGGAGCGGCGGCGCAGTGGGGGTGGGGGACGTGGTGTGCCTGCAGGGGGAGGTGGGCGCGGGGAAGACCACTTTCTGGTGCGCCTTGGGGGAAGTGGGGGAAGAAGTGGGGGAGGAAGGCGGGAAGGCGGGGAAAGGATAAAAAGGGAGGGGTAGGAGGGGAGGAGGAGGTGCTTACCCCTGCCGTGCTTACCCCTGCCGTGCTTACCCCTGCCGTGCTTACCCCTGCCGTGCTTACCCCTGCCGTGCTTACCCCTGCCGTGCTTACCCCTGCCGTGCTTACCCCTGCCGTGCTTACCCCTGCCGTGCTTACCCCTGCCGTGCTTACCCCTGCCGTGCTTACCCCTGCCGTGCTTACCCCTGCCGTGCTTACCCCTGCCGTGCTTACCCCTGCCGTGCTTACCCCTGCCGTGCTTACCCCTGCCGTGCTTACCCCTGCCGTGCTTACCCCTGCCGTGCTTACCCCTGCCGTGCTTACCCCTGCCGTGCTTACCCCTGCCGTGCTTACCCCTGCCGTGCTTACCCCTGCCGTGCTTACCCCTGCCGTGCTTACCCCTGCCGTGCTTACCCCTGCCGTGCTTACCCCTGCCGTGCTTACCCCTGCCGTGCTTACCCCTGCCGTGCTTACCCCTGCCGTGCTTACCCCTGCCGTGCTTACCCCTGCCGTGCTTACCCCTGCCGTGCTTACCCCTGCCGTGCTTACCCCTGCCGTGCTTACCCCTGCCGTGCTTACCCCTGCCGTGCTTACCCCTGCCGTGCTTACCCCTGCCGTGCTTACCCCTGCCGTGCTTACCCCTGCCGTGCTTACCCCTGCCGTGCTTACCCCTGCCGTGCTTACCCCTGCCGTGCTTACCCCTGCCGTGCTTACCCCTGCCGTGCTTACCCCTGCCGTGCTTACCCCTGCCGTGCTTACCCCTGCCGTGCTTACCCCTGCCGTGCTTACCCCTGCCGTGCTTACCCCTGCCGTGCTTACCCCTGCCGTGCTTACCCCTGCCGTGCTTACCCCTGCCGTGCTTACCCCTGCCGTGCTTACCCCTGCCGTGCTTACCCCTGCCGTGCTTACCCCTGCCGTGCTTACCCCTGCCGTGCTTACCCCTGCCGTGCTTACCCCTGCCGTGCTTACCCCTGCTCTGCTTACTCTTGCCGTGCATGCACACATGTGGTGGCACGTGCTCTCACGTGTCCTGCATGGGTGCCTACCCCATGTGCGACGCAACCCTTCCTCCGTACCTGCCGCCCGCCCAACCCCTCCTCCAGCCGGCACTTGATCCGAGCGCTCACGGGCGACCCGCACCTCACCGTCACCTCGCCCACCTTCCTGCTGCTCAACTCCTACCCCTCGCCCGCCCTGTACGCCCCATTGCACCATGCCGCCCCTCATTGCCTTAGCCCCATGCCGCCCCTCATTGCCTTAGCCCCATGCCGCCCCTCATTGCCTTAGCCCCATCTCTTCATTCTCCATTCCTTGTGAATTCTTCCCCCCTGCTCCACTGCCCCTACTGCCTGCTCTCCCCACCTTACCCCTGCTCGCACAAGTCAGCGCAACCAATCCCACCCCCCTATCGCATTCCCTCTTCCTGCTCTCCCCCCACAGCACCGTGCATCATTACGATGCCTACCGCCTGGGTGCCCTGCGCACTGCCACACCAGCGCCTGCAGCAGCAGCAGCAGCAGCAGCAGAATCGCCCGACATTCAGCGCCTGGACCTCGCACACTCGCTTGCCACCGGTACTCCCCACCCGCTCTCCTCGCCCTTCCCTGCCCGCCTATCGCCACCTCGCTTGCTCTCCCCGTGCTCCTTCCACCCTCCCCACCTGGTCCCTCGTTCACCTTCCGATTCTCAGCACCTCACACCCCCCATACCGTTTCTCCATCCCCCCATCTGCCCGCATCTCACTCCCTCGCCCCATTCCGCCTTCATCATGCTCCCCTTCCCCTCTCCCCCTACCCCCTCCTTGCCTCCCTGTCAGGGCTGTGTCTCATCGAGTGGCCGCAGCCCCTCCTCCCTCTGCTGCCCGCCCACCGCCTCCACCTCTCCATCTCCCTCCTGCCGCCCGCGCCGTATCCTCCGGGCGGCACACATGAACCCGATGTGCTCCCCATGGGCCGGCCAACAGCAGGGGTGACAGGAGGGGCGGCAGAGGGTAGGGCAGAGACTGGGGAGGAAATGATTGGTGGGGAGGAGGGAAGGGAGGGGGGCAAGCGGGGAGCGGAGGATGGAGAGGAGTGGGAGGAGCAGGGTGGGTGGGAGTATGAGGAGGAAGAAGATGCGGAGGGGGAGTGGTGGCGGGTGGTGCATCTGGATGCGAGGGGGGAGCCATGGACTGCTGTGATTGATGCTGTAGTGGCCTCGGCACGCTTGTCCCCTCGTGTAACCATCCTATGATGCTCTTATCACGCCTGGGATTGTTTCATGGCCAGCACCTCGTTCACAGCCGAACCCTCTTTATGGATGCAAAAGGTCAAGCAGAGAGCGTTGTACGAGTTGAATCATCCTGGAAAGACTCCTCCGGCGGAGCCCTTACCAGCAAAGAACATACCATATCATTCCATAACTCCCTTGGGTAAACAATCTCTGCGACAGTCAAGAGTTGTGTTGTGATAGAGGAGCAAAGCAGAACAGGTTGGAGCAGAGCAGTGCTTAGCGGTGTGCTGCACCCTCAGCACCATCCGTTCTGCAGCCTCAAGTGGTAATGCACACTTCTAAGCTACATGCACTCATTGGCCCATATCCTTCCTGGGCTGCACTGCCAAGAAAGCGGGCTTCCGTAATCCGAAGCGATACGGTAACTCGCTTCCCTTATGCTATTTGCTATCTTGCTCTTATTGTAACCCCGCCCCTCCTGTTCCCCTGCTCAGCTCACATTTTTCCCTCCTCCCTTTCCCCACTTTTTTATTATTCCTCTCCTTCCCATGTTTCCCTCCCTACCTCCCTTGTTCCTCTACTTCCCGTGTCCCCCTGATTCGCTGGTTTCTATACTTCACGTATTCACCTAATTCAATCATGAGGGAAGTAACAGAAGCATCATTTTCATCGCATGCCAATAATAGGACAGATGAAACAACTAAGGTATTTCTATTGTTACAGCAGTAGACACAACAGCTTCTCAGTTTCAATTCCTTGTTCTCCATTCAATACAAGCACCCGTAATGTAATGTAACACCCTTCGAGTAAACTCGGAAACAGAGCTGTTCGCTCTCCCTGTCTTTCCAATCACACCAGGTACGTTTATGTCCTCGACGAGGACTTTATGTCCTCGACGAGGACTCACCCTATCATCCTCCACCGCAAATTGCAAGCTCCACTAGGTTCAACCGCACCACTGCTGACATCAGCTCTTTCTCCCAGCCACTCAACCTCTCACGTCCTTGGTTGGTTTGGAGCCATCCTTCCCCCTCCTACCCCCCTGGCCCAACATCGGGTCAATTCTTTCTGAGCCGGAATCTCTTCCCAGATGCAACCCCGCTCGGATCGCGCCGTACCTGGGGATGGGAGGATGCACCAAAGCACGAATCGCGAATCGTGAAATCCATCCATCCACCACATGCACTAGTGTTTCATATGCAAATTCACGCCACGGCCCACATCTCGCACACAAATAAAGTTCTCCGGCATTCCCGAAGTTCACAATCCAGTTGATTTTGCGTACCAATCAACCTCAAAACCCCTCGTCTACCTGCACGTTTTTCGCGACGATCACATCTCGCCGCCATGGCTCGCACTCTGATCTTCGTCGCCCTCATCCTCGGCGTCGTCGCCCTTGCGAATGGCGCCGCCGTGCCCTTCTCTTACGACAAGAGCGGCACTGACTGGACGGTAAAATCCACGCCCCCATCATTGCGCGCCTCTGCACATGTAGTTCGCAGCGTTTTCCAAGTTCCTGACCAGCAAACTTGAGCAAATGCGGAAATCTCAGCAATGTTCAACCTCGCGTTTGTAATTTCTAACATTGCGCAGGGCGCGTGCGCGTCGGGAGAGCGGCAGTCGCCGATCAACATCGTGATGGACGAGGCAGTGCTGGGCGCGTCTAAGGAGCTCTTCCACCTCAACTACTCCAAGGCCGCCTCCGTCGCCGTCCTCAACAAGGGCTCCACCATCCGTGCGTTCCCTCTCGCCACCTCATTGCAGTGCAATTCTTTTCTACTCGTTTGTTTGCTTCTGTCCCGTTGTGACGAATGCGCGGCATTGCCTCACGTCAGAACGTTTTCCTCGTGTTTTGCTTCGCGCAGAGGTGGTGCCGGCGGCGACGGAGTCGCACCTGCTGCACCTGTCGTCGGGCACTTACTCGCTGCTGCAGATGCACGTGCACGCCATGTCGGAGCACACCGTGAACGGGCTGTTCGCGCCCATGGAGGCGCACTTCGTGCACGTGCACGTCGATGATCCCAAGAAGCTCGCCGTCGTCGGCGTCATGCTGCGCCTCCACCGCGACGACGCCAACTCCACCTGGATCACCCAGTGAGTTCCCCTCCCCGCCGCTTGCTTTGTGCACTGTTAACTTCCCGGGATACCACCTGATAGAACTAAAACGCCACATTTTGCAAGAGAACAGGGGTTCAATCATTAACTCGCTTCATGTATCTCGCTGTCTGACCCCGAATCTCCCTCCGCTCCTCCGCAGGTGGCTGGACCGCGCGCCGGCGGCGAACGGCGCGAACGTGACTGTCCCCGTGAGCGCGGACTTCTGGACGGCGATGCTCGCACCGTCCATGGGCTTCTGGACGTACCCCGGGTCGCTCACCACGCCCGAGTGCGACGAGATCGTGCAGTGGCACGTGCTTCGCAAGTCGCAGTCGCTCTCCGTCGCGCAGACCATCCAGTTCATGAACATGATGGCGGTTACCAATAACGGCGAGCGCACCGACAACCGCGTGCCGCAGCCCATCAACGGGCGCATCGTCTACTTCTACTACCCCGAGCTGGTGTCGCAGTAGGCCCGCTCCACGCCGCCGCTAGCCCTAGCTTTTTCCGTCGGCTGGATTTGAGTTAGAGGATGGGTAGGATGCCGACGCAGTGGGAGCGATTGGAGGGCATGGTCGCATGTGCCTGCCTCTGCCAATAGTAGTGGTTTACTTCAGCTGTGCTTGTCACCCTTATGTGCATGCCATGCATTATCAGCAATAAAGCCAGTCCTTCGAACGCAGAGGCACTTCAGCCCCTCTCATCACTCTCCATGTACTACCAAAATCTCAGAACTGTCTCAATATGCCTGAAGCTATGGTCGAATGAAAAGTGTTGCTACAACATCACGGCAATATGTGTGTGCGTTCACGTCCAGAGAGGGCTTTGTTGTCCACTCCTACTTTGCCTGGGCGTTGTCAAGTGAATGGCAGCAGACGTGCCACCAGCCTCAAAAGATACTGCACGTGTACACAACATTGTATGAAGGCGAGCAGGGAAGATGAAGTTGATTGCCCACTGAAGGACACCTGCACTCTGTCATACAGCACAGAGAGACATGGAGTGCCAGCCAGCCCTCACCATGTCTGCCATGCCAGCCCTCAGCATGTCTGCCAGCCCTCAGCATGTCTGCCAGCCCTCAGCATGTCTGCCAGCCCTCAGCATGTCTGCCAGCCCTCAGCATGTCTGCCAGCCCTCAGCATGTCTGCCAACCCTCAGCATGTCTGCCAGCCCTCAGCATGTCTGCCAGCCCTCAACATGTCTGCCAGCCCTCAGCATGTCTGCCAGTCCTCAACATGTCTGCCAGCCCTCACCATGTCTGCCATGCCAGCCCTCAGCATGTCTGCCAGCCCTCAGCACGTCTGAGACCTCATGTACAATAGCCTCAACAACCCAAGCAAGAAGAACCCACATGCTACCGTATATGCATCATTTCGCTTGCAGGGTGGGTAGGGTACATAGCCAGCTAACACTTGTGCTGATCTTATAACATAATTTACAGCTACGGGTGGATCCCAATCCTCTAATCAAGTGCGAGCACTTTCTTCATGTGCTCGTACGTGACGTACGTGATGCTGGCAGCAGGCACCACCTTGAGCAGGTTCGGCACCACACCTCGGAAGAAGGCATGCACGCCCCCCTCCTGCCACAGCTCCCGTGTCACCTCCCCCATCGTTGGCCCCCTGCGTGCTACGCCCATGGCCGACAATGCTGCTGCTGGCGTTGCTGCTCCTGCTGCAAAACCCAATGCGCTGCTTGGTGCGGGCGGTGCGCTGACGTGTGCTTGCAGCCTGCCACACAGCGGGCCACGAGGTACGGTGCCTAGTTTGCAAGAGGAAGCTGGGCAAATGGTAGTCTGACGAACAGCCTCGTGAAAAGGGGCAACCAATGTGTGAAGCATGTGTTTGGCAGGAGAGGGGAGGGGCGGGGCATGTGTTGAGCAGGGGCCTCACCGGGTGCGGATGACCTGCAGGGGGAAGACGAGGGTGGCTGCCACAGTGGCTGACACCGTGCCACAGGCCAGCTGCAGCACCGGCGCCGCCTCTGATACCCGCACACCATCCACATGGGGCGGGAGAGGTTTGGGGACAGTGGGGCATGGATGGAGGGAGGAGTGAGTGTGTGGGGTCAGTGTTGGGGAGGGGTGGGTCAAGTGGGGATGAGGACGAGGCTTTAGGTAGGGCAGGAGCATGGCGGCAAAGGAAGTGTGGTGGCACACGGTGCCATGCTGTGCCATGAGTGTGTGCACTCACCAGGTCGCTGTTCAATCCATGGGGTGAAGGCGTCTCGCAGCGTCTCATACGCCGCCAAGTCGATGCCAGCGAATGGGATCATGCCCAGGATGGACGGCAGCAGCCCGCGGAACATGGCGCCCGCCCCCTCCCTCTGTAGAATCTCCGCCGTCAGGGCGGCGAGGGGCGGCGGGTTTCGGCCGTATGTGAGGTGGTAGGTCTGCAGGCGCGTTTTGACGAGGTCAAGTGGGTACACGGCCGTCTGTGCCACGGCGCCCGCCATGCCCCCCGCCACCAGCCGCGTCACCGCCGTCTCCCCCGACTTCTGCCCACACGCGTGGAAAGAGTGGGAACAGGGGGGTGTGGAAACGGTTGAATGCACACGTGTGCATGGTCACTGCAATCAAGTGAGAGTGCACAGGTGGAGGTGGAAACAGGGAGGGGCGGAGTTAAATGCACGGCTGGAGAATCTCATTATGTAGCTGGGCTCACCTCACCAGCACCAGCACCCCCAGCAGCAGCAGGGGGGGAGATGGCGCGTTTGAGCAGCTCATAGGCATAGAACTTGATGGCTGACTCGGGCGCCACCTTGACCACGTTGATGCCGTTGCCCTTGAAGAACGCCCCCACGCCGCCCTCCCCGTACACCTGCTGCACCGCTCGCCACAGCGTCAGCCGCCCGCCCGCCACCTGCTGCCGCCCGGCGATTGTGGCCTGCCGGCCAGACTGCATGTTCTGCCACCAGAGCGGCATGCTGGGCGGCAGGCGAGGTGGTGCTTGTGTAGAGGGTGAGAGCGAGAAAGACGGGGCCGAGGGGGAGGCGGTGCGGAGGAGAGAGAACTGCCAGCGCGAATGGCGTGGGCGGGGGTGGTGGGGGGCGGGGGAGGAGGCGGAAGGGGAAGGAGGAGTGGCACGGGATGGGGGTGGGGGGTGGTGAGAGGCTCGGACAGGCGACTGAGGTGCTGCTGCTGATTGCGGTGGTGGTGGTGGGTGTGGTGGTGGTGAGGTTGTTGGTAGGCGTGGTGCGGCACTGGTGCCAGCATCAGGAACAGCGGCGCTGGACAGCCTTCCTCCCACGCCTGCCCTTGCTGCTCCCTCCGTTGCTCCCCCTGTTGCTGTTGACACTGCTGCCACTGTCCCTCGGGTGCCACCTGCCTGTGCCCCCCCCGCTGCTGCATGCACAGCCCTCCCTGCTGCACCACTCGAGCCAACAGCCCTTGGGGCGGCGCTGCTGCCACCAGCAGCAGCGGCTGCCACCGCACCGGCACCAGCAACACCACCAGCACGGACAGCGGCAGCGGCAGCGCCAGCAGCAGCGGGGTGCGCATGGGTGGTGGCCTTGGCGCACTGCAGGAGCACCTTGAGGCGGTCCAGGGGTGCCGTGGCGGTGCGCGACACGGCACCCGCCACGCCGCCCGCCAGGAAGTAGCGCCACGCCAGGGCGGAGGCGTCGGGAGCGGTGGAGAGCGATGCAGAGAGGCCTGAGGGGATGACTGGCTGCTCGCCTATGTCCACCTGCTGCACTCGCTCCCAGTACTGTGACAGGAAAAGCGGGGGGAGGGAAGGAGTGGGGGGGGAGGTTGGGGAGGAAAACGTGAAGGGCGAGGGGCGCAGAACGGTGGAGAGAAGAGGGGGAGGGCATTGGCAGAAGCAGCAGGGACAGTGATGCATGGCCACGAGGTGAGAGTTCGGCGAGGGCACGGGGAAAGCACGGGGAAAGGCAGGGTGGCGGCAGGGTGGTGGCAGCAGCAGGCGCACGGAGGACACACGCACAGAGGCACGCACCTGGTAGGCGGTGGCGATGGAGGTGGCGCGGTGGGGGAAGAGCAGCAGGAAGTCACGCCACTCGTTGAAGGACAGCACGCCATCGTGGTTGCGATCCATCTTCTCCATGAACGCCTGTAACTCGCCCTCCACTAGGTGTATGCCTGTTAGGTGGGGCGGGGGGAGGTATGCGCATGGGGAGAGGGCGAGAGAGAGAGAGGTATAGGGCATCGTGGTTGCGATCCATCTTCTCCATGAACGCCTGTAACTCGCCCTCCACTAGGTGTATGCCTGCCGTGCATGGCGTGTGGGGGGAGAGGCATGGGCATGCGGAGCACTATGGGCATGGGGCATCGTGGTTGTGCTCCATGCGATTCATTAACGCCTGTACCTTGCCCTCCTCCGCTCCATGCCTGCCGTGCACCAAGGGAGGGGGTGGGAGGCTTGGGGCATGGGAAGGGTGCGAGTGAGAGGAATGGGGCATGAGGGAGGGGGCGGTGCAGCATGCAGTCATGTGTGGGAGGGCAGCGACAGAGATGAGAGCGCGAGGAGTGTGGCGGAGAGAGGGCAGCAGCAGGGGTGGGTGGTTACCGGCGTGGTGGAGAGCAGCAGCGAGTTCGTGCAGGGAGATCCAAGTCTTCTGAGTCGACTCAGAACTCACCAGCGTGGTGCAGCGCGGCAGCGAGCTCATGCAGGGAGATGGCGCCATCGAAGTCGGTGTCGAGCTGCTGGAAGAGGCGGTACAGCTGCACCTCCTTGCTGTCCATGTAGCGATGGAACTCGTTATAGTCACACACGCCGTCCCCGTTCTGTGCCCAGCCAGGGGAAGACGGGGGAGGGGAGGGGGAAAGAAGGGAGAGAGTGGGCGGGGGCGGAGCATGGCGCGCAATGTGGTGTGTGTGAGTGCAATATTGACGGGCGGAACTCGCCCATCGGTCGAAATGAATGCCCGTGCACGCCCATCACCGTTGCTGGGAGGGAGTGCGCAATGGATGTTACCAGCACCTGGCGGACGGCGGCGAGCGCGCACCTGGCGGACGGCGGCGAGCGCGCACCTGGCGGACGGCGGCGAGCGCGCACCTGGCGGACGGCGGCGAGCGCGCACCTGGTCGATGGCGGCGAGCGCGCACCTGGTCGATGGCGGCGAGCGCGCACCTGGCGGATGGCGGCGAGCGCGCACCTGGTCGATGGCGGCGAGGAGGTCTTTGGAGAACTTGTAGTCCACCAGCACGCCCATGCGCGCCAACCCCCTCTCTATCTGCCTCCGCGTCAGCGCGCCTGCCACGCGCCACCGGGGGGAAGGCGGGGGGGAGGGGAGGCAGCAAGAGGCGGACAAGTTGCAAGTGGCGCGGAATGACGGCCCGCAGAGATCGGGTTTTCAAGCTGCCATGTCACGGCGCGGTGCGATAATCCACCATGCTACACCATCTGTACCGCCCTGTTTTACCTTGAAAACCGTGCAACTACGCCCTAGTAGTCTGCGCGCATTTCATCAGCGGCTATTCCAATTTCATCCCATCGCTATTCCCGCGTCGCCCCACCTCTATTTTCGGTGTCGAACGTCTGAAAAAGCGCGCGAATGCGCTTTTCGCGCGACGCGGGGCTCTCGTTGGCGGCCAGATGCACCTCCACCAGCCCCAGCCCCACCGCCGCCCACTCCCCGCCCCTATCACCCGCTGCCTGCCCCAACTCCGCTCCGCCCGCCGCCTGATCCGCATCATCCCTTGCGTCAGCGATCGCCGCTTGGCGCGCAACAAGATCTGCGTGGGTCATGGCGGAGCCACCGTCGGCAGCGACGGAGTGCCGCGAGCAACGGCGGTAGTAGGGCTGTAATGCGGCAACCCACACAATGCCTCGCGGACGGATACGCAATGGAATACGGCTCTCCCTAAAAGATGATTGCTTTTTTCGTATAGAAAGTGGAGAGGAAGCGCCAGAAGGCCACGTGGGAATTTTAGTGGCTGACACGCGCCGTGCGAAGTGCAGTGAATGAGGGATTGACTGCTGGTGGAACGCCGAGTCAAGCCGTGAATGGATCGCGAGGGATGCCTGGCAGCCCCGCTGCAAGGGGGAGGGTAACGAAAGGACGGTTCGCGAATCTCGCCTGCTCGTGTTCCCCGACGCGGATTGCGCGGAGATTCCCCGCGTGGAGCTCAGCTGAGTAGCACCTGAGCGCAGAGGGCGGTGAGCGAATACTGCACATCGCACAGTGCGTAGATGTCACTCTTGGGCGTCAGGTGGCCTGGTGGTGGTGAGGGGTGGGGATACAGCAAAGGGTGGTGCGATGAGTTGAAAGTGCACACAGCACAACACAGTCTGTGTGAGCTGTCACGCCATGAAAGCCGTAGGTTGAGCCTCTATTGCTCTTTTGGCCATCCAGGCAGCTGTATGCAGTGGGTTGGGCGCGCACCTGTCTCGAGGCCCGGCGCTGATATTTCCCGCCCCTGGGGAAACAGTTCCCAGGGTGGTGAAACAAAGGTACAGAAATCAAATTTACATGCCGTGGGCTTATATTTCTTATAAATGCATACGAGTGCTATACATTAATGAACATGGAAAGCACTAATACAAATACTAGCTTCACCTTGGAGCAGCATCTTGAAACACCACCTTGCCAGCATTAACATATGACCCGTCATCAATCCCATTCTCTGCGCCTCTGTCACTTCCTCCCCCAGCATCTCTGCATGACAACGAGCGCCAGGAGTTCCACCCTTCCCCACTCCGCCGGCCACTAGCGTCTCTACCACCATTCCTGTCTGCAACGCTGCTCACCGCGGTCTCATTAGCGGAAGCTGAAGAAGCAGAAGCGGATCTGCTGTGTCCCCCGGATGTGGCGGAGACAAGGGAAGCTGATCTGCTGTGACCTGACATGGTCGACCCACTGGAGTCGGATCGAGAGTGCCCGATGGCAACGATGTGTTGCATGGACTTCACCAGGTCCTGGATCTGTGGCCGTGCCACCGGGTCCTCACTGATGCAGTGCTTGGCCAGAACCAGAAGCTTCTGGGCAGCAATGCGGGAGAACTGGTCCTTCAACCGCGGGTCCAAGATGATGTCTAGATCCGGGCGGCGCACTGAGATGTGCGGCCGAATCCAGGCTGTCAAGCCGCCCTCCCCATTGGCGTCCTGGTCGTCGTCGCCTGAGGGCGGGCGGCCAGTGAGGAGCTCCAGGTAAACCACCCCGAGCGCGTAGATGTCACTCTTGGGCGTCAGGTGGCCTGGTGGTGGTGAGGGGTGGGGGATACAGCAAAGGGTGGTGCGATGAGTTGAAAGTGCACACAGCACAACACAGTCTGTGTGAGCTGTCACGCCATGAAAGCCGTAGGTTGAGCCTCTATTGCTCTTTTGGCCATCCAGGCAGCTGTATGCAGTGGGTTGGGCGCGCACCTGTCTCGAGGTACTTGGGGTCGAGGTACCCCATGGTGCCCAGCACGCGCGTGGATATGTGCGTCTGCCCCGCCTCCGGCCCCACCGTCGCCATGCCAAAGTCCGTCAGCTTCGCCCGCATGCCCTGCGAGGCACCCAAAGGGAGAACGTCGGAAGGGAAAGGGGCAGCGCATGTGGGACGTCTGGTGTAAATGGGGTGCGGCATTCCCAAAACACATCCAACTTGCGTGCGCTAACTCGAGTGGTTAGGGATGAGGATGGAGCGCGGGCAGGGGGGAGGGCGTGTTTGGGGGGGAAAGGGGACGCACGTGGTCGAGGAGGATGTTGCAGGACTTGAAGTCGCGGTGAATGATGTTCTCCGCGTGCAGGTGCGCCAAACCCATGGTCGCATCCAGTGCAATGCGCACCCGTTCCTCCCACGTCAGCACCCGCCGCACACGACTGCTGCTGGAGTCGTCTGAGAAGAGCCAGGCGTCGAGGCTGCCGTTCTCGAGGAGCTCATAAACGAGGATGGCCTCCTCCCTGTCCGTGCTGTAGCCCAGCAGCCGCACCAGGTTGGGGTGGCTCAGCCGGCCCAACAGTAGCACCTCCGACTGATGATGTGGGACCGAAGCAGAGGGGAGGGTTGGATGGGATGGGAGGGAAAGGAAGGGTGAGGGTAGGGTGCACAGAGTTTACTGCACGGCTGCCACGCTGCTGTCGCGTGTGGATCACGCCGCATGGCCCGAGAACCACCCCTCATCCCCATGACCCACCAGAAATCCCCATGACCCACCAGAAATCCCCATGACCCACCAAAAATCCCCACGGCCCACCATCCATCCCCATGACCCACCATCCACTCGCCGAAGCCCTGAAAGCTATCAGCATCAAGCACTTTAATCGCCACTTTGCGCTTCTGTCCACGTGGCAGCTCGCCGAGCCAGTCCGGCACGGAGCCGCGGTACACCTTGCCGAAGCTGCCCTCGCCCAGCAGGTTGCCGCGCCGGAACCGCCCCGTGGCCGCCTGCAGCTCGCGATACGAGAAGCGCCGCAGGTCGTTTGCGAACGACGCGTTCGACGCGTTGTCATCGTAAATGTTCGCCACTGAACCGGGGAGAAGGGGGTGTGGATGGGAGGGGGTGGGGGGAGAAACAGGGACGTGGGTGCAGGAGAGGGACCACGGAAGGACTCGCAGACGCACACTGGGTTGTAGCGACGCCGCATGGAGGCTCGACTTATGGGTTGCGAAAAGCGGTGTGGGAGAGCATGGCGACGCGCATACCTGGCTCTATCTCGGACGAACCCCCGTTTGGAAAACAAGGCAAAGGGCCGCCTTTATGCTTGCTGCGATGACTGGCGGGGCTACTGCAGCAAGCCCCCATAGTTATGAGTCCCAAGTGAATAAAATTAGTGTACAAGTGTAAACGACGTAAGGCGATTGCAAACAGCAATAGTCGGTTCTAGCTCGGGGAATTCTAGCTCGGATAATAGGCCGCGCCTTCGAGACGGAGTGTTCTCCCTAGTAACATCTTCACGGAAACAGGAAGCATGGCGACCTAAAATTTCACAGAACCTTCGTAAGCAAATGTCGTGGTGCCGACTCGACGGAACCTGCACTAATCCGAACACTGATGTGAGGAAGAGAGCAAAGAGGAAAGGGGGTGCTGCGTGCGCGAGAAGTGAAGGGCGGAATAGCAGGCTGCGCGAACCCTCCGCGCGGGCGAGAGGCATCGAAGGCGACAACACCGCGCTGACGGAGACTCGGAAGAAATTCTGCCGTTGGCTGATTCTTTTGCGTGCTCCCCTTCAGACCGTCGATTCTCTGTCCACAGGGTACAGTTGGCGCATATGTCAGGAAGGGAAATCAGCTTGACTCGCGTACTAAAAGCGAGGAACTATAATCAATCATCATCACTCACATCACATGACATAATGTAGTAAAAATACTGTGTCAGAACAGAAGCCATGAAGGGGTAGATGGAAAGTAGAAATGTGAGGCTAGTGCGCTGGCACATATCATTTGTTTGTAAATATTACATATTATTGATCTAGGTAAAGGTTGGGCTTGCAATGGTGCTGATGGGTGAATTTAATAGTTAACGGTCGAAACAACCAGGAGACTGAACAGTACCATTTGTGGTACTGAAATGACGTGAAGGAAGAAAAATCAGATAGCCCCTTCCCCCCCGTAAATGCACTAACATATCCTATCAGAATGCGGAGTGATTCATTCTTCATCACTATCTTGCTCCAGGCGGTTGATGTATTTGTCATAGTATATAGCAGCTTTCTCTGTGTCCCTTAACTCCGTATAGCAGTCGGCGATGGCACCGTATGCCTCTGTGTCACCAGAATGCTCTCCCGTTGCCATTGACTTTTCCAAAACCAGTTGATGGTACCCAATGGCTTCCTTGTACTTCCCTTGCCTTTGACAAGCGGCTCCTGCAGGGGAGGAAGCAGCATGTGAACAAAGAGGAGAAATCAGGAAATTTCAAGCAGGGCCTTGAGTTAGGTGACCACATGCTTCCTTCCATATTGAAAAACGTGCACATATGAGAATGCTGGTGTTGTCACCACACTTACCAAGTCCTCTGGCAGCTTTCTTCTCTTCAACCGCATCTCCCAGCTCCTTTGCCTTGCTCAGAGCCACATGAAACTCCACAAATGCGGACCCTGGGTGCCCATCCCGCAGGTGCTTCTTCCCCTCTTTCAGCATGCGGATCAGCTCTGCCCTCTCATCACTCGCAGCATGAGCCATTTCAGCCATAGCCGTTGCCCTAGCTGCATCAGGTGCTTCAGCAGCGGGAGCTGCTGCTGCCTCTGCCATGCTGCTGGTGCTGGCTGCAGGCGAGGCAGCGCTAGGAGGAGGCGGGGAGTAGGCGAGGGAGGGAGCGTCCAAGCGGGCCTGCCTCTTGAGGCTCATGTTGATCTGCCTCAACTGCTTGTTAATGCGCTCCATCTCCGCCCCCTGCTGCAACGCCATGTACCCTGCCACGCATGGTACACACATGACATTATGGGATGGGGTGCACAAGTGTCCGTCAGAGTAGGTTTGACCTGGCTGCGCCCATCAGGCTCCATGGTTATCACGTGTAGCTGCACCTGAGCTAGCATTACTTTTCGTTCTGCTGAGTTTCCGTCTTTCATGTGTGACGATACGGCGAGCGACGTGTGTACACTGGACCTACACAGCCCAGCGCGTCACCCACTTTTGATAACTTCCCCCGGGTGATACCCCCCCCTTTCTCACCTCCCACAGCAGCGCCAGTGAGCGCAATGAACTCGAGCGCGCACGTCACGGCCACCACAGTGTTGAAGTCCGCCCCGCCCAGCAGCTCCCCGCACGCCTGCGCCGCTGCTGATGCGGCGGAACCAGCCGCTGCGCCATCAGCGGCAGCAACAGCGGCTTCCGCAAGAGCACGGGGGGCGGAGGCCAGCAATGCCGCTGCCAGTCCCGCGGCAATGAGCGGCTGGCAAAGAGGGGAGTCCCAGCTGGCTGAGGAATCCTTGTCCGTTGAGTTGATTCGACCCAGGGAAGCTGCGCGAAGGAAGGGGAAGCAATGCGGAACGCGGGAGGATGCATTGGGACATGGCGAGGGAAGCCGCGGAAGGAGTGGAACGCGCATGGATTTGGAGTTTATCCCACCAGCAGGCCGCGATGGATAGTGTCGTGTTGAGGAAACGCAACTGGCCGGCGAGCACCTTAGTTGGCTGACGGAAAATGACGATAATGAGGCAATTCGAGTGACTCTATCGAGGGCAAGCGAGCGGGATATCGACATCGTGACAATGCGTCCCCTGAGTTCGCGGGGACGCAATGTGTCCGCGTCGCCTCGAGAGAACTGGGCGGTGAACCTGCTTGGCTGACAAGAATGCCGGAAAGAAGTGTTGGCAAGCAATCTGTGGCAAATTCCCTGCTCAAGTTTCTCGTCAGGCGTTTTCTCGCACTGGAGAACTGAAGCGGAAATGCTGAGATCTTCTGATCGTTGTCATTTCATCCAATCCCTTGTCGGTGGAGATGGTTTTCGCGGAGTGATTTGGAATATCGCTGCCCTTGCCATGCTGGCAGGACGATTTGCCCAGCACAGCGTGGCAACCAGATTGAGCCAATTGATGAGACTCTTTTGGTTGTTTTTGGTTGGCTCGTGCATTTCTGATGATTCGCGTGCGCGAAACGTGGCAAGACAACCTCGAGAAAGGGTAACACGGCAATGGTTATGACTTCCGCAAACTAAAATGCAGTACGACTTGCATGACCTCACGTTGATTTGAGGATTCGAGAGCAGTTTCGTTAGTAGCACTCACCCTGGCTGTTGGTGGAGGTTTGTCGATTTGGTCTCTGACGATCCAACAGTGTCTTCTCTGATCAGTCACTAACGCGAATAGTGGTGGTGGCCTGACAGCCAAACCAAGTAAATTTCGCACGTCGTTTTATTTATCGCATCGTCATCGTCAGATTCACAACGCGTTTAGTGCTATTGGGCCTCTTACTACTTACAGTGTCCTTGACAGGCTTGCGTATTAGTAACGGAAAGATGAAGAACTATTAGGTTCACCTTCCGGCCTTCTGGTAGTCTTCATCGCATAGATTCCTCTATCACAGGCAGTCAGAAGCGTTTCAATTCTTTATCATTTGCGAATTTGTTAACGGCTTGACCTGAGGCCATTCTGGATGTCCGCCATACCGCGAGCAGCAGCATCGTCGGTCGTTGCGTGTACGAAACTGCACATGCAAGCTGGCGTGCTGTAGCGGGGTGCGCATGGGCATCGCGTGGTCGCGCTGGCTCGACGTGCTACACGGCGGCGAGTCGGAGGGCGTGCCGCCCGCCGTGCCGGCGATGGTGCAGCGTGCGTACGACCAGTACGCGGACGACAACGGCGTCATGACGAGCAAGGCGCTGCTTAAGTTCTTCCAGGAGTTCCAGCAGGACAAGGTGCGCGCCTGCTGGGGGGGATGAGTTTTGGGGGCGGCGGGGGGGAATAGGTGCGCTGAGGAAAAGTAGGCGTTGCTCAAGTTCTTCCCTCACGCCACTCTCCCCCCTTCCCCCTCCCCCTCCCCTCCGCTCCCCTCCCCTCCCCTCCCCCCATTTCTCTGTGAATTATACTCCGCCACTCTCCGTGTGGGCGCAGGGCGTGCTGCACGGCCCGATGGCGAACCTGCTGCTGTCGTTCCCCTCGTCCAGCGCCAAGCCCGCGGACGGCATCCCCCAAGTCAACCGCAGCCGCTCGCACCGCGCGCAGACGCAGGGGCACCGGCACTCGCGCACGCTGACGCGGTACTCGCTGACGCTGGGCGGCAGCCGCATCAAGGCGCAGGCGGAGCCCAACGCGGACCAGTTCCTGCACGTGCTGCTCGCCCCGCTGCTCACTCCCGCCCTCGCCAACCGGGTACTGCGCGCTGGGGGAAGGGGGAATGGGGGCGGAGAGGGAACCGGGAGCGGGTGACGGTGGGTGAGGAGGATGTGAGGCGGGTCAGGCAGCGTGGGTGGATGCATGCAGAGGTAGGGGGTAGAGGCAGTGTGCAGCTCCAGGGCACGCACCATCAGTAACCGCGCCCCTTCTCCCTCTGCCCCTCAGTCCTTCTTCTCCCCCTTTCTCCCCTCCCTCTCCCCTTCTTCCCTCTGCCTGGGTGGTGCGCGGTGGGGTGTGGTGCAGGTGAGTGCGGACATGCGGTTACCACTATCGCACTACTACATATACACGGGGCACAACTCGTACCTGAAGGGCAACCAGCTGACGAGCGACAGCTCTGTGAAGCCCATCGTGAAGGCGCTGCGGCGTGGTGTGCGTGTCATCGAGCTCGACCTCTGGCCCTCCAGCGACAAGTCCGAAATCCTCGTCATGCACGGCGGGTGAGTCATGCACGGCGGGTGAGAGTGCGACGGGGGAAGCACGGCGGGTGAGAGAGTGAGCGACAGAGAGCATGGTGGGTGAGTGAGAGCAGGAAGGGGTGGCAGGTGAGAGGACAGCGGGATGGCAGATGAGTGGTCATGCACGGCGGGTGAGAGAGCGAGAGGGAGGGAGGGGTCACTCGGGGTGAGAGCGAATAGGGCAAGTGAGAGGACGGCTTGTGGGGGATGTGATGGTAAAGTCGCTCGAGTGCTTCAGAGTGTAAGAGGCTGTGGGTCCCCTGCCCGCCCTGTTACATAGTCAAGCCAACCTTTCTTGGAATCCGTTCCCAACGTTCCCCTCCTTCCCTTCCTCGCCCCTCCCTGGTCCGTGCATGCAGCACGCTGACGCGGCCGGTGGGGTTTGCGGAGTGCATAAGGGCGATAAAGGAGCATGCATTCGCGGTGTCGGACTACCCCGTCATCATCACCCTCGAGGACCACCTCCCTCCCCCTCTGCAGGCCATCGCTGCTCAGGTAGGCTGCAGGCACGCTCAATCTGGGAAGGCAGCAGCAATGCGCAATGCGCTGCTGGATGCATGCCATGCCCGTGTTTGCTCACGCTGTACCCTCCTTCCATCGCACACCACCCACATTCTTGCTGCTGCACTTTGTCGTCCATTCTTCTTTCCAGGCCCCTTCATCTCCCTCTCACCCTCCTCACCACAGCCCCCTGCTCCTCCTCCCCATACCCATAACCCACTGTCAACCCACTTTCCCCTTCTTTAACCCTCGCCCCTCCCACCCCCACCTCCACCCCCCCAGGCGATGTGTGAGGTGCTGGGCGACATGCTGTACATCCCCGAGGACGAGTCCCCCCAGGGCGACTTCCCCTCGCCCTACGCGCTGCGCCGCCGCATCCTCGTCTCCACACAGCCGCCCAAGGGACCCAAGGAGCTCTCCACCGTCGTCGCCCCTGCCCCTGGAGGATCCTTCCGGGACTCTGCGGGGGCTGAGGCATGCTCGCCCCGTTGCATGTCCCCACGTGGTCGTGATGCTGAAGTGGCACGTGTCGACTCGCCTGCTGATGTGGCACGTGTCGACTCGCCTGCTGATGTGGCACGCGCTTCCTCATCTGGTGATGTGGCATGCGCTTCTTCATCGGGTGATGTGACAAGTGGCCGTGTTGTTAATGGCGTGGTTCGCACTCTACCTGCTGCTGACGTGGCATGCAACTCCCATGGTGCTGAGCTGGCACGGGGCCAGACGGACTGGCTATCATTCAGAGACCTGGCAGAGGGGTCATCATCTGCAACGCTGGCTTCAGGTGCTGCTGCTGCTGATGTGGCACATCCTCTACCACACTCACATGCACCGGCCAGCATCAGCCAGCTATCGGGCATAGAGGAGGTGGCGGATGACCCAGGGGGAAGGGGAGGAGGTGCAGGGGCAGCGAGGGAGGGCAGTGTCGCGGAGGCAGGGGCAGCAGAAGGGGGGAGCGGGCGGGCGCGGGGGGGGCGGGAGTCCTTTTCCTTTCCGGTGGCGGCGGAGGGGGGCGAGGATGGGGGGGTTGACCCCAGTGTGGCGCTGGGGGCGGCGCTGAGCATGGGCAGCAGGCAGCGCAGCAGCAGAGGCAGTCCTGTGGGCGGGTCAGGAGGGTTTTCTCGGCGCATCAGAGGGAGTCCGTCTCGAGGCAGTGCCAGTGGGCTGGGGTGGGGCAGCATGGGGCACAGCATGGGGCACAGCAGTGGGCAGTGGTCGGGGCGGTCGTTGCAGCTGCACCAGGTGGACGAGACGCACCTCCACCAGGTTCGTACTGCCTCGCCCGCTCCACGTGCCCCTCTCTGCATCCCCCCCGTTCCAGTGGTTTGCACGCGGATTGTGACCCAGTTTTGAAAGAACTTGCCCTCCTGTACGTGCCACAGGCATGCCCTCAATGCCGACCTTCCCTCCTACTGTTCGCCCCCACTCCTGCTGCTCCTCCATGTTCCCTGCCCGGCAGGTGGAGGTGCAGTGGACGCAGGAGGACGCGGCGGAGGAGGCAGCGGAGGACGCGCTGACAGGCAAGGTGCCGCAGTACCGCCGCCTCATCTCCATCCCGGGCGGGAAGCTCAAGGGCGGCAGCGTGGAGGAGGGGCTCACCGCGGGGCACGGCGAGGGGGTGCGGCGCATCTCGCTGTCCGAGACGCAGCTCGCCACCGCTGCGCGCTCCTCGCCCCACCTGCTGCTCAGGTGCGTGCCATGCAAGAGACAGGCGGAATTGTTTTGCATGGGGCGGACGACTGCAGAGAATTGGATTGAAGAGCGAGGGACGGAGGCGTGATGGACGTCCAATGTCTATGTGAGGCATATGAAGACTGTGTGCAGGAGAGGAGTTCATTCTAGAGCTATGTTGCATGCGCACCGTTCTCCCATGCGCACAGGTCTCCTGTGTCCTGTGGTGAGACGTGGTGCAAGTGCGAGCCAGCCACCCACACCCCCTCTCAACTCCCCCCACTGTCTTCCCGTCTTCCATCATCCCTCCCTCTGTGATGTCCCTGCTCAGGTTCACACAGCGCCATCTGCTGCGCATCTACCCGTTCGGCCTGCGAGTCACGTCATCCAATTACAACCCCATGCAGGTGCTGCCTCTGCCCCTCCATCCACCACCACCCATCGTTGCCGCTTCATTCTTTGCACTTGAAAAAAATCTACATGTGCACACGCATGCGAGTGTCTCCCAACCCCACCCACCCCACCCGCGCGTCCCTCCCCCTGGGCACGGCACTATAGGCGTGGCTGCACGGGGCGCAGATGGTGGCGATGAACATGCAGGGGTACGGCCGCCCGCTGTGGCTCGTGCACGGCTTCTTCCGCGCCAACGGCGCCTGTGGCTACGTCAGAAAGCCCGCCTGCCTCATGGGGGCCGTGGAGGGGCAGGCAGAGGGGCAGGAGAGGGAGAGGGGGGGCGGGGGGCAGGAGAGTGTGCCGTACAACCCCCAGGCAGTGCGCCCCGTGGAGCTCTTTCTCAGGGTGCGTGCAGCCGCCCCTCCATACCCTCGCACACCGGCCATGGCATGAGCATGTGTACAGTATGCATCACTTGTCCGCTGGGCCCATGTGCTGCGCTCATTCCCACCCAGCACGGCCGCCATCCCCATGTGCACCAGCACCCAACCCACCGCTCCGCCTCTGACCCAGGCACTCTCTGCTGTGTGCCTTCTCTTCAACCCCCTCCTCCTCCCCCTCTCCCCCGTGTGTGTGCGGGTGGCAGGTGCATGTGATCCTGGGCACGGGGTGGTACACGCGCTTCTCCCACAACAACTTCGATGCTGGCGGGCCCAGCCTGCTGTGCCGGGTGCGTGCATGGCATGGCATGGCATGGCAATGGTGTCTCATGGGCCCAGCGCCACAGGGATGTACGGTCAGTGGCTTTCAGCCTTGCATTGAGTGTTTCGTCCTCACCCTCCCCTGTGCACGCCATGCACCATCCACCATGCACCATCCACCATGCACCGTCCACCATGCACCATCCACCATGCACCATGCACCACATGTGTGCACACCTCTCTCACCCTGCTCCTTCTCCCGCGTCAACGGCACGGGGGGCGCACAGGTGGCGGTGGAGGGGGCGCCGGCCGACGTGGGGGAGAGGCGGTTGGACATCCGGGTGGGCGAGTGGAACCCCTGCTGGGACGACACACCTCTGCTCTTCCCCCTCACCCTCCCCCACCTCGCCCTGCTCTGCTTTGAGGTCTGCTTTGAAGTCCCCGTTGGGCTCCCCTGCACCTGCTCTCTTTCTCCATGACTTTGTTCTGCCCTGCCGGCCGTTTTTCAAGAAAGATCGTAATCCTTCATCCATCGTCCCCCTTTCAACTACCTCCGCCCCTCCCCCCTTTCCCTTCCTCCCCCCCTCCCCAGGCCTCCCTCATTGCTGTATCGTGCATCCATTCCTTTTTCCGTGAGCTCAAGTTTCTCTCTTCCTGTGGCCCTCCCTTGGTACCACACAGGTTAAAGTGCTGGGCCTTTCGTCATCTTGCTACCCATTTTTTGACTATGTGAGCTGTTCTAACCCCCCTCTGCATTGCTAACGATATGGAGTGTTTTAGCTCTGTTACATTTGCCCTTTGATGTTTGTACTCTCATCGTCATTGCATGTGCACTTTGTGCTGTGAACCCCTAGCACTTTGGTCTGATGTCTGTTCAACCCCTGTGCTCTGTTGCTCCGTGCCACAGCTGTTTGAGAAGAATCTGTACCAGGACGACTTTGGAGGGCAGGTGGTGCTGCCAGTGATGGGTCTGAGGCCTGGCTTTCGCTGCGTGCCGCTGTACGACCGCAAGGGCAGGCCCATGGTGGGGGAGCAAGGTGACGAGGCAGAGGGGCCACGGCTGCTGTGCCAGTTCGAGCTGCTGAAACCAGGGGAGGAGAAGGAACCGCAGAATAGGGTTCCCAAGTCATCCACTTGGACGGGAGGAGCCGCTAGCAGCAAGATAGGCAGTGAGCCATCACCCCAAAGACCAAAGATTGGCCGAAGCCATGAGATTTGACACATTCTTGCATTGGCAAAGCTTTCCTTCACCATATGATAACTACTCAAAGGATGTATTGTTGGCTGCATTATACTGATTCTACAAAGACCGCATGAACAGAGCAAGCTTGTAAGGCATCCATTACCTTGGTGCATAATGCCATGCATTGTAAGGTAAAACATTATGGTTTAGAGAGTCTGAAATCCAGAAGCCGGGATCGCTGTGTAACATTTAGGCATACGTGGTCAACAACCGACCACGTGGAGGGCTGGCATTATTCCTGCGAAGCACCTCGATGTCGCCACTCGTTCGCCACCACCTCGGTTTCATTGTTGCTGTGCCACTGCTCTCCACTGAATTGGTGTGTGTGTTCTCCATAGTTTCCCACCAGGTGTTAGCCTGATCAGCACTGCTGGCAGCCATGGCGTCCTCCCTCGCATTCCACGTTACCACACCGCTGCTCGCGGATTGCTCTAACAACCATAGAGGGTTGAGTAGTAATGTACCGCGTGCCTTGAATCAGGCGAACCCGAATGCACATGGAAGGAAAGTCCATGCATTGTCCAACAGGCGTCGGGGTAGACATCTCTCGTTTGCCTCGCTTCTGAGCGATGGTAGGTCCCGATATATCCAATTTAGGCTTGAGTGTGATCAATTTCCGACTCCCGGTAGCCAGGCTCGGCCAGTACGGCCTGTTGTGCACGTAATGCTACTATGCTCGGTGTTAGTCCTTGACAGGGAGTCCCCTGTATGTATGAACAGCCAATTACAGAATTAGAATATGATTTCTGTCAAGGAGTGTGTCTGATGGAAGGCTAGTGAATCTAGCCACGTTTGGAGGAGCAATGCTCCCTGATAGTGGATGTAGCCAACATGCAACGTTCGCCTTCTTTACCACGCCGTGCCATTTCGAACCCAATTCCGCGGCCTGGCCACTCACTCACCTACCAGGCATCGCAGCTCCGCTGGAGAAGCGAGCACCGCCTCGAGGGGGGGCTCTGGCGGTGAAAGCCGCTGCCGCAGATGGCGGTGCCGCGGAAGGCGCGGGTGCGGGAGCGGGCGAGGCAGCGGCCCCGCGGGTGGGCGCGGTGCTGTTCGACATGGACGGCGTGTTGTGCGACAGCGAGGACCCTTCGCGCGAAGCCGCCGTCGCGCTCTTCGCGGAGATGGGCGTGGCCGTGACGGCTCAAGACTTCGTCCCCTTCATGGGAACTGGTGAGGCGTGGCAGCTACCCTGAGCCAGTGAATCGAATTGTGAAAAAAAATCCTCCAGACTTAACTTCTGAATTCACCGTATTGATGTGGAATGTCCAGGTTCTGTTTGGTGAAGGAGTTCCTGTAGGTGCCTGATAATGAGAGCAGTAGCAATCAGTGCAATGCAACCAGAGTGGGTGAATTCAGCTGATTTTCTGTTCTCGTTTCAGGTGAAGCCAACTTCCTGGGCGGTGTGGCGCGGGTGTATGGAGTGGAGGGGTTTGATACAGACAAGGCCAAGAAGAGATTCTTCAAGATCTACATTGACCGGGTCAGACCTAGTCTCAACCTTGACCTGCCACAAATAATCTCTGCTATGACCTCCAAGTCAATTTCAGCATACACCTGCTAGACCTGAATTTATGATCAAGAGATGACTTTAGTGATGGCGTCAGCAATAACATTGATCGTCTTCACCTTCCCGCACGCCACCCGTCTCGCCTCCCCTGCAGTTCGCGCGCCCCAACTCGGGCATTGGCTTCCCCGGTGCGCTCAAGCTAGTGGAGCAGGTGAGGCGCACGCCCCTGTGCCTGTGAGCGACAGAGTGGAGTGGAGGGGGTTGTGATCCAGTGAGGGGATTTAACAGTCTCCATTGCAGAGGCTGCGGACTCAAGAGATGGACCATCTTAGCGACCTTCTAGCAACTATGGCCTCATCATGTGTTCCGTTGGATGTCCCCTGCGTGTGCCTCGGCCTTCTATCATCCAGTATGCTATGTATCTAACAATATCGTCCATGCTCCACCTCTCCGTCTTGTCAGTCATCCCCAACTTATGCCCTCCCTCGGCCTCGCTCTCTCTCTCTCACCCCCAGTGCCGCGCGGCAGGGCTGAGAACAGCTGTGGCGTCCAGTGCGGATCGAGTGAAGGTGGACGCCAACCTCGCAGCTGCAGGCATCCCGCAAGACAGGTGCGTGTGTGATGTGAAGGGGGAGAGTTCATTCCTTTGCTTTTCAGAGGGGGCATCAAGGCTGGTACACGCAACACAGGTGGGGATCAGGGGGGTCAGAAGCGAGCCTGAGTGTCACGTCTCACCCCACCAGTGTCTGTCCCATGCCACCCCTCCAGGTTCGACGCCATAGTATCGGCGGACAAGTTTGAGCGCCTCAAGCCGGCGCCCGACATCTTCTTTGCCGCCGCCAAGGAGCTGGGCGTGCCCACGGATCAGGTGAGGTTGGCTTGGGGTTGGTTGGGGGCCGTTCCTTGGGGAAGATGGTGACAGTAAGAGGCAGTGACGGGTACGGGAGGGAGGATTTTTGTCGTTATTTCTGTATTTCAGGCTGAATCCGCGTGTTTCTTCCACTGCTACTGTCTCACTGGCTCGCGTAATGAATTGTCTCCGTGCCCCGCAGTGTGTGGTGATTGAAGATGCTCTCGCTGGTGTGCAGGCAGCCACAGCTGCTGGATGAGGTGGGTGGGCCTGACATGAGCGCGGTGAGGTGAGGGAATGTTTCCATGATTACATGAAAGCAGAGGCGTGGGAGAAGGTGAATTCAACCACTCACTCCCTCTTGTTTCTTTGCACTCTCCACGCAGAAAATTGCACACCTCATGATCCTTTCCTTTCACACAAACTTCATTGTTGTTACTTCTGCTCTTCCTTGCATACTCACATCTGCCTGGTTGCCCTTTACTACCCCCCATTTTCCTTCTTCCTCTTCCCCTTTCCCCCACTCCCCCTATCCCTTGCCACTCCCTTTCCCCCGCCCCTTCCCCCCCACCAGGTCCATAGCTGTCACCACCACCCTGTCAGCTCCCAGCCTTGCCGCTGGCCGCCCCGCTCTCATTCGCCGAGACATCGCTGACATCAGCGTGGCTGACATCACCTCTCTGCGCTACCCTGAAGATGAAGATGAAGACGACGGCTCATCTGGCGCTGCTGCCACGGCTGCCACAGCTGATGGTAGCTCGTAGCCAGCCTGTGTCTCCTGCAGGCCACCCCTGTCGCTTGCTTGTTTGCTAGCATTGAGCAGTACGGTTGCAGCTACCAGCCTTGTGTGCACAGTAGCGGGCAGCGGACCTAGTTTTCCTGCAGTATTGGGTAGATATGGGCCATAGCCATGTGACACTAGTGTGCAGCTGTGATCTGGTGCGTCCTGCCAAGCAGCTCGATGCTGCTAATGATGACTCGACTCGCATTATGTTATAAATTGCCTTGCCTTCAGCCTCACGCTCACTTCCTTGTACCCACATTGCCTGTTTGTCTATCTCCTCTTTCATATCATCTCTTCCCTCACACCATCCGTATGTTCGACATTATGTATTGTTTCTGACCTTGTCCACGTCCTCGTCTCATCGTCTCTCGCCCTTGTCCCTGGGAGCCCCAGCAGCATCACTGTCTGCGCCTGCTGCATCAGGGGAGAGCAAGGGGCTGTGGGCGTCCATAGATGAGCCGCTTCCCCTGCCAGGCGGGTGAGTTTCTTGGCAGGAGGGTGGGTGCGTGGACTGGAGGGTGTGCCATTACCACACTCCTGTATGCTGCACTCACCAAGCTCACACCCTCTCACCGCCTGTGTGCTGTGCGCGCGCCCGGCATGGCAGCATGAGGGTGACGCGGGGGGACGCCATACGCTACAGCAGCCTGGCCATGGGGCTCGCCACCACCGCCTTCACTCTTGACAACCTCAAGGTCCGCCCCTCCCCCTCCTCCCCCTCTAGGCTCTGCCTCCCCTCACCCAAACGTCCCCATCTCCACCCACTGCCCTCTCCTCATGCCTCCCGCCCATTTACACCCCTCTCCCCACCTCACCACCTCCCCACCTCCTCACCCCCTTTCCCCCGTACCTGTCTCCCCTCCCCGTTGTGTGCACGTCGCCCCCAGGCCTTCTCCTACGCGTCCCCCAAGGCGCTGCTCAACATGCTCACGGGCACGGCCGTGCCGCCCGCCAATGCGGCGGGGCCACGTGGGCTCGTGAAGTACATCCAGCAGCTGGACCGCAGGTGCGTGCATGCCACCGCATCAGCCATGCGGAGAGGGTGGGTGGTTTAGGGGGTGCTGGAGATGTTTCGGTGTAGGAAATGAGATGTGCAAACAAGGCAAGGCAGCATCAGCTGTGCCATGGAGAGGCCCCGTTCGTCACCACCACATCTGCCAACTGTGTGCTGCCTCCCTCCCTACCGTCTCTGCCCTCCCCCCCTCCCTACACCCAGCAGTGGTGCGGCTGACGTGGTGCCGGACTTTGAGCCGCGCCTGCAGTGGCTCAACAGCGCTCCCCTCTCCTTCGACCGCGTGCGTAGCTCCCCCCTTGCCCTTGCTCCTTCTTCCACTTCACATGCCCCGCACACCCCACATGTTCCACATAGCCCCAGATTCCACCTATGACCTTCTCCCTCAACGTTTCTACCCCCTCCCCCACCCCCGCATTCCAACCCCCCTCTGTGCGTGGGAGCAGGAGCTGCGCGGCAAGGTGGTGCTGCTGGACTTCTGGACGTACTGCTGCATCAAATGCATGCACGTCCTGCCAGACCTCGCCGCCCTCGAAAAGAAATACGAGGGCCAACCAGTAGGGGAAAAGGAGTGATCTGTGCATTTCCTGGCTGTCCTGTCCCGGCTGTGCATACAGAAAGTGTAGGGGATGCCGCCGTGCATGTGAGAAACCCCTTGTTACATTTTCACTCTCGTGTGTGCTTGTCCCCTTGTCCCTCGGTTCTGTGCATGGGCCCCTGGCGCCAGGTGGTGGTAGTGGGCGTGCACTCGGCCAAGTTTGACAACGAGAAGGACCTGCACGCCATCCGCAATGCCGTGCTCCGATATGATGTCGCCCACCCGGTATGCTGTGCTTGCTGCTTCTCCCTCCCACATGTTCCCTCAACGCCCTGCAACGCGCAGTCTCTGCACCACAACCACCTGGGCCATAGACTGCCTTTGGAGATTCTGAACAACATTAGCCAGTGCCTCACGTTTGTGTGGTGGGCTTGATTGTGTGTGTGGTGGGCGTGGCTTGGTGTGTGCTGGGCAGGTGGTGAACGACGGGGACATGCTCATGTGGAGGGCGCTGGGAGTGTCATCATGGCCCACACTGGCCCTCGTGGCGCCCACAGGGCGCCTCATCGCCATGGTACCGGGGGAGGGCAACCGCCAGCTGTTTGACGACCTCATAGCCGCTTCCCTCGAGTACTACAGTGCCAAGGGCGCGCTCAGCGATGCGCCCATCCCGCTGGCGCTGGAGCGCAGCCGGGACCAGCGCGTGGTGGCGTCGGCGCTGCGCTTCCCCGGCAAGCTGGCGTCGGACCTGGCCAACGGGCGCCTCTTCATCTCCGACTCCAACAATCACCGCATCGTCCGTCCCCCTGCTCCGCCTTGCGTACCTGCTACCGGCTGCGCTCCTTTCTCTCTGTACCTTTGCTGCACATAAAGAATTCACATTGACGCGCCTTACTGACCCTCCACCCCCCAATCGGCCCACTGGGGACCATTGTGGCGTTGTGTCGGCGTGCAGGTGGTGACGGACCTGCAAGGGAGCTTCCTGGCGCAGATAGGAGGGGCGGGCGACGGGCTGGTGGACGGGTCGTTTGAAACGGCTCAGTTCAACAGGCCTCAGGGTGTGGCGTATGATCCTTCTCGGAACCTTCTGTTTGTGGCGGACACAGAGAATCATGCCCTGCGGTAAGAGTGTAGCGAGGAAGGCAGGTTTCGGAACATGGGTGATGACAGACCCATGTTAGTTATTAATGCCGCACTGCCAGATGTTGGTAGAGGCTCACATGGCTGCGCCCACACTTGCCTGCACACGTGCTTGCAAAGCCATTGAGTGCTTGTCTTCACTCCCCCAAACTACCCGCCTCTCCGCCCCTGCTGTCCTGTGTGCCTGTGTGTGCGTGGCATGTGGCATGCGGGCAGGCAAGTGGACCTGGTGGGCGAGACAGTGACCACGGTGGCAGGGGATGGGCGCAAGGGGCAGGACTACAAGGGCGGGGCCAGGGGTAGAGAACAGGTGAGGCCAGGCCAGGCACGAGGAGGGGCACGCTGCTGTGTGCATGTGCTGCCATGGTGGCTGCATGCCCTGCTGCCGTGCTCCCAGCAGTTCCCGTTCTCCACTTCCGGCGTCTCCTCCCTCATGCATGATCACGCACCCCTTCAACCCCGCCCCCCCGCATGCGTGAGTGCACCATGCCTGGCAGGCTTTGAACTCGCCGTGGGACGTGGAGCTGACGGCGGACAGGGCAGCAGTGATGGTGGCCATGGCGGGGCAGCATCAGATCTGGCGGTTCGATCTTGACACGGGGCGATGTGTGGTGTTCAGCGGGTCGGGTTACGAGAGGAACCAGAACGGCCGAATGTGAGTGCAAGCCTTTCGTAAAGGCGCCATTCCCCCATGGCGGTGTCAACACATCCATCTGCCTTCCCTTACTTCCGCCCCCTCCTCACGACTCGCCGTGCTCCTTGCTGTTCTACCCCCACCCCTCCACCCTCCTCTCCCCAGGGGCTCTGACACGGCGTATGCCCAGCCGTCGGGGCTGTCCCTGGCCCCAGGTGAGCAGCCTCTTTATCATTTTGCATGTGGACGGGCTGGGAGTGATGACTCATGCTGAGGTGTGGCATGGAGGACAGGCGAGTATGCGAAACATTTTGCTTCATTTCCTGACGCACTTTTATTGAATCACGCTGACTATTGCCTTTCTCCCTAGTGCCGCCCCTTCGACTGATACGCAGCTTCCCCAGTGAGAGCACCACCCCAAGTGCCTTCACACAACGTGTCCCTCACACCCTCTCTTGCCCCACCCCACCCCCCACACCTGCCCACGCCCCATGGCCGCCACGAGTGAGCAGGCGGCAGGGAGATGTACGTGGCGGACAGTGAGAGCAGTGCGCTGAGGGCGCTCAATCTGCACACGGGGGGCTCCACACTCATCGCCGGGGGCGACGCCAACTTCGCTGAAAACCTCTTCAAGGTCTGCCCCCTGCCTTGCCCTCTCATACCCTTGTTACTCGTTGGCCTCTCCACTGTGCTGCTGCCACCTGTGCTGCCAATGCATTGTTGCATCTGCCCGGCTGTACCTGGCATGCTGTGTGCCGCCTCACCCTCACCCCTGGCCCCCTACCTCTCGCTCCCCCTGCTCCGCAGTTTGGTGACCGTGATGGCTCTGCATCCAGAGCTCTCCTGCAGCATCCACTTGGCACGCTCTCATTGGACGATGGCACGGTGCTTGTTGCTGACTCATACAACCACAAGGTGCACCAACCGTGTTGTTTTTGGCCCTTGCATAATCTTCCTCCTATGTGCTTATCATACCACTCCCTTCCATGTCCCAATGTAACCCCTCTGAATTCCGTATCCTGGTTTTGTTGCATGCCTGATGCCACACCGCATGCCATCATGCCCATCACACTCACGGCATGCCTGATGGTGCACGGTGCAGATCAAGCTGGTGGATCCGGCTCGTGGCTCCGTGGTCACACTGGCAGGCACCGGCTCAGCTGGTTTCAGAGACGGGCCGGGATTACAGGCACAGGCAAGCAAAGCTATGATCGGGGCGGGGAAAATGGGGTATGGATCTCCTGGCTGGTGTGGAAAGCAATTACGTGCACGATCTTGAATGTTTCTCCCCACTAATTCGCCTCTCACATTCTCCATTTTATTTTTTTCTCGTGGCCTGCTTGCCTCTTGAACAACCACCTCTGCTTCACCCGTGCAGCTCTCAGAGCCAGCAGGCCTGGCACATGGTCCAGATGGTATGACCTCGCAATCACCGTATAAGCACCACATGCAGATGCCGCATTGCCGTTTATCCATACTCAAGTTATCCAGATTCTGAGAAGTCGTCCTCTTGTTTTCATCTTCATTTGTTTGTATTGCATCAACTGTGCCTCCTATGTTCCTGCTTCACATACATTATCAACCCAGAACATCCTTCATTCATGTTTCTTTCGTTCTTCTTCCACTCCCCTCCATTCTCTCTGCCCAACGTCCCCCTCCTCCTCCCACCAGGCACGGTACTCATAGCCGACACCAACAACAGCCTCATTCGCTGCCTGCACCTCCCATCCGCCTCCTCCCCCACCGCGCTGCTCTCCACGCTCGACCTCTCCTCCGTCCCCCCTCCTCCCGCCGCCTCCTCCTCGACTCAGCGGCGGCGCCTGAGGAGGCGGCAGAAGGCGGACGAGCAGGTGGTGGAGGTGGCGCCAGTGGCAGCCGCCAGAGGCACGCTGCAGCTCGCTCTCTCCATCCCAGCCGACTACCACTTCACTGCTGTGCGCCTCGCCCTGCTCCCGTTCCTGCCTTGCTCCCTCCTCACCCCTCTCATGCTTTTGGTTGTCTTCCTGTACACCTTGTACCCCTGCTGCTACTGCAGTGTTTCTCGCTCATGTCCTCCGTGCCACCTCATAGACACCGGGCATTGGTGTGCAACCTGTCCTGTGCTGCGTGCGTGTGGTGCGTGCAGGGTGCCACGAGCAAGTACAGTGTGGAGCTGCCAGAAGCAGGGAGCGCAGTGACAGTCACACCGCAGGCCGGTGACCTCACTCTATCCGGCTCACTCGCCCTCGCCTCACTGGACTTCACAGCGCTGACAGCAGTGGCAGCTCGGTGGTGCAGGTCCACTGCAAGGTACCACCCACTGCTTGTACCGTATTTGCATTGCTCACCCCCCTGCCACCTTCCCTTGCCATAACCCTTTTCCTCATGCACCATCTTGTGCTGCTCCCTCTGCATCCCCACCAGGTGTACTACTGCCAGCAGGACGACCTGTGTCTGTACAAGGCTGTCAACTTCAAGATTCCATTCACTCCGTCTGCAGCAGAGGAAGCACAGGACGTGCAGCTGTTGTTTGACATCACCCCTGCCCCTGCAGGCAAGGCTCTGCTGCCAACAGCATGAACAGAGATGTGCAATACATTCTGCAAAATTACACCTATATTTACAATTTCAACTTTCAGGGCCCAAACATTCATGAAGTGTTCAGCAAGGTGTTATCCAATCACTAATAGTCACTCAGTACTGGCTGACTTGTGGTTTCACCTCACCAGTCCTCTCAACAGCCTGTTTGCTGGAGCTGCAGGAGGCATCATGCACTGCAGATGGAGCAGGCTCGTCCATGCTGAGGCATCGGGTGTACTCCGCCAGGTAGAGGGAGCGGGTGAGGCCCACTAGCACCAGGGAAAGGCAGGAGGCCACCACACAGGCAGCAGCCATGACCAGGAAGGTGACTCTGAAGCAGTGGGCTCCATGGCACATCAACGCCGGGCCTCCTGAGGCTGGTGCAGGCGCAGGTGCAGGGCCGATGGGGAAAGGCGGAGAGGAGGCAGCCTCATGCTCCGCCTCGTAGTCGTAGAGGTAGCCAGCGATGCAAACGGAGAGGAGGTAGGAGCCGGTGGGGTTGGTGATGGTGAGCCAGTTGTACAGCGTGCCGAAGTGCCGCAGCCCAAACACCTCCGACGCCACCGCGGGCATGAGGCCCCACTGCGAGCCATATGCCAGGCCAACGATGGCAGAGCCCACATACAACGAGCCAGGTAGTGCGGAGGCGAAGAGCAGGTGACCCGCTGCCATGGCAAGCTGTGTGGCGGCCATGAAGGCAGGGCGCGGCACGGCCCGCTCGTGCAGGAAGTGCTCTGAGATGTAGCCCGCTCCCACGCGGCCGAGGAAGTTCCAGATGCTCATGAGCGACACAAAGATGCCCACTGCCTGCTGCTCGTAGCCCAGCGACCGCCCCACCTGCCCCAGGTTGTTGATGGCTGTGAGGCCCGAGCCTGAGGCGAGCGTCATGGCTGCATAGATGAGCCAGAAGGGCAGCGTCTGCACCGCCTGCCACAACGTGTGGTCGTCCCCCACCTGTGGAAAGGCTGTAGCAGCTCCTGAGTGATCGCTGCTGGGGTCATGTTGCTCTGACCGCGCTTCACTCTCTCTGGCTTTGAGCGGAGCAGCATGTGGTGCAGCAGCAATCCGCACCCCACTGCTGCCACTGCCCACCAACGGCTGCCTCTCCTCTTCATCCTGTGTGTGCCGCTCACCCATCACTCTCTGCCTCACCACAGCACGCCTATCAGTGCCTTCCTGCCCTGCTCCTTTGCCACTCAGCCGTACCTCCGAACCACTGCGGCCAAGGTGTGCTGCTTCTCTGACATTCCCCCCTTCTCCATGCGCCAATCCCTGACTGCCATTGCCCTCCTCCACGGCCTCCCCTGCTGCCAGCCTGGCGGAATGCACAGCGCGCTGCTGCTCCGCGACCACCTCTTGACTGATTGCGATGCGAGCAGGCCACGCCAGGATGGGAAGCGCGCCGAGCGAGATGAGCGCGCTGACGTGCCAGGTGACGGGCACGGAGTGGTCCAGCAGGCTGGCGGCGAGCAGGTAGAGCGCCAGGCCCACGCCTGCTGCCAGCACCGCCATGAGGTTCGCGCGCTCAGAGGGCTCGCTGGCGGGTGGCAGCTGGTGAATGGCGGGCGTGGCGAGCACGGCGACGAGCGACGGCAGCCACGCCGCCATGAGCAGGAACGCGTCGCGGTTGGGCGCATAGAGCGCGAGGTAGAACTGCGTGAACAGTGCGCCACTCAGACCGATGAAGCCCTGCGGTGGGTGGGACGAGGATGGGAGGATGCGCAACAAGCGGGAGAGGTTGGGTGCGCCAGAGAGTCGACTGTGAATGCGCGTGGAGAAAGCACAAGTGCGGAGGAGAACGCTGATTCGAAAAACGATTCACGAACTGTGATTCAGTGTCGAAAAGTGAAAACGTGCGATACCTTGAGCAGGCCAACTACAGGGCCACGGCTGTGCGGAAAGTTTTTTACGCAAGTGACGAGGCCTGCCGTGTTGAAGAAGGTGGCGCCGTTGGTGCCCACGCAGATGAACGCCATCACCACCCACACTGGCGGCTGCCACGCGCCGCCCAACCGCCCCGTCAGAACGAGCCACAAGAAGCCGTAGCCAATCACGTTCAACACGGCACCGATCACCAGAACGACCCACGTGGGTGCGATGTCACCAACAAATCCTGACACGATCCCTACGTTTCCGCCAATGTCTTTCGCCATGCCAACCATGTCGAGGATCTGCTGGTTGTAACCCAGCGTCTCCTTGAAGCTCTGTGAGTACAGCCCGAACATGTAGCTGACGCCTGAACACGCCTCCACCCATGACGCTGCCGCGAGACAGAACCATCGATTCGAGAAAAGCGCAAACCACCACCGCGGATGCAACGCGAAGCGCAAGAGTTTTGCGCCATTAAGTGGTGTGGTGTTATCCCACGGTGAGCCTGACAAAACTGCCGCCATAAGATGGCCATAACTCTCAGCAAAGGCCGAAGGAGGAGCTTGTGGTCAGGGCAAGGTTCGGTTTGGCCTCTGGCAACAAGACTTCTGGAGGTGGGCAGAAACCTGGTGGGGACGTGGAATTTTGGACCACTGCCGTTTGGCCACGCAACAAAGCTGATGGTCATTCTGTAACTCAACGAAATGCGTCAACACATTTTTTCGTGAAGTTCGTCCAACCGGTTCAAGCACCCATCATGGGAAACAGCCCGTTCGAGTTCCTCCAAGTGGTACAATCCAGTGTCTGGTCATTTCCAAATTCTAGAATCCCTGCTCTGAAACAGCCATTCTCGAATTTCTCGTTGTGGAATGGCGACCATGCAAACAGACAAGGCATTTCGCCTGAACCTGAACGTTGCATCTGGGTCGTTAGCAGCTCTCTTACTGGCCATTTCCACCGTTCTTGTTAGCATCCTTGCTGCCAGATTCCCGTCCCGCACCGATTACTATGCACAGCAAATGACATGCCGGCTTTACTACAATCAGGGAGCTCCTAAGTGAGTGTTTGCAGCGTTTTGAGCAGCAACTTTTACTAATCCGTACCGAATAACACCTTACGTAATGTTTTGTCCTACTTTTATCAGTGAAATCGAGTGCCTCAGCCGCTGGTGTGCGAATGCTGCAAACTGGCCATTCGCTCGTTGCAATGTTACTCAAGGATTGAAGGATGAAGGATATGACCCGTATTACAATCGCGCTTACCTTTCTGAGAACTTCCCCTTTGACAAGAGCAGCATGTCCCTTTCCTGGGCGTCGATGTCTTTAATCACTATAACACTCGTGTTAGAGGTAAGCAGACTTGTTCGGGGACCCCTGGACCGCCTGTGTTTTCTCTATGTTCCTTATGAAAGTACAACATTGCAGGTCATAACTCAACTGCTGGACATGATCAAGCCGAAGAAGAAATCCTTATTCTACTCAAAACGATATCGCGTATTCCTCCATGCTTGTTGTGCGACATCATGGTTCGTGACCTGTATAGCAGTTCAATTGTGTGCAAGGATACCCTAGCATAACATCACCATTTCTCGATGCAGGATAAGCACTGCAGTTGCAGAGGCTTTGCTCATCTACGGATCGTCAAAAACATCAGAAACCTGGGGGTTGTACAACACAACTGAAGGATTGTGGATGGCCGCTGCTGTAATCAGCGGTCTTGCATTTCTGTCGTCTTCCTTATTCCACTATCTGAGGCATCGGCACCTGCGGTACATTAAGACTGCTCCGGTATCAGGTATGGGGAATTTCATTCTGGATTTGATACGCAATTGAATTTGTGACGGGTCGTGTAGCTTATGCGTGTAAGCTTCAACAGGAAACCTGGATACCCGGCAGGGAGAATTGGTATTGCAGCATGTGAAACAGCCTATGGACCAGCTTGTGTCATCAAGGGATCAGGCAGCAATTGGTGTTACTGGCTCAGTTTCAGGCTCTCCCATATCATCTAACCTAACCCCAAATGCAGAAGCGTCAACGACCGCTGGTTTTGTGCATGCGGCAGCAGGGCACAGAGCATCGTCAGATCCATCACAGCAGAAAATGAAGTCAAAGGGAACCGATTTTAGTTTGGAGGAGCTCCAGCAGGCAACATTAAATTTCTCTCTTAAAAACCTTCTCGGTCGTGGTGGCTTCGGTGAAGTATACAAAGGTGTACTGGCAGGTGGTCAGACTGTTGCTGTCAAGAGAATTCACAGGCATAAACTGCTGCACGGAAGGGACGAGTTCAAGTCAGAGGTGTGTCTTGTCGGATCAACAAAAGAGCAAGAAAACTTTCTTCTCGTCTTTTCCATCCAATGGCATGCTTAACATTGTGATAATTTCAGGTTGAGATTCTCAGCAGAGTTCATCACCGGAATCTTGTGCGGATACTGGGGTACCACATTGGGGAGACAGAGGAACTTATTGTCTTCGAGTTCATGGCTAATGGATCACTCGACCACCACCTGCATGGTCAGTAAGTGGTGCGTCATTGTCATGCATTACGTTTACACTAACTAAAGTACTTACAGGCAATACTTGCACACCCATTGGCTGGGAAAGAAGGCTTCAAATGGCAATTGATGCAGCAAAGGGTTTGGTAGGTTCCCCCAAATATTCAGGCATTCGCTGATGGTGGAAAGCTTGAAACCCAATCTTTTGTCATGTGAGCAGTCTTTAACTGATTGCGACGTTTCCTTGTCATGCTGTGTTTTTCAGGCATATCTTCACCATGATTGCTCTCCAAAAGTGGTGCATCGTGACATCAAAGCTTCTAATATTCTTCTTGATGCGAACATGAATGCTCAGGTCTGGAAGGGCAGTTTGCATTCACTGAAATCCCTTGTTCCAACTTGTGACATTGTTTCTGATCATGCAGGTTGGTGACTTTGGCCTTGCACGCTTGTTGCAAGATGATTCTGAGCATGTAACTACAAGAGTCATGGGCACCATTGGCTACTTGGCCCCGGACTATGCATTCTCAGGGCAATTGACGGAAAAGAGTGATGTTTACAGGTAACACTCAACTGCCCGATTTTTGTGATAACTGCAGGTCGTCTCCTAAACTGCTCTATGCCACGCAGTTTTGGTGTTCTATTGCTGGAGCTCCTTACAGGGAGACAGCCTGTTGATGTCACAGCTTCGACGTTTCAAGGCCAAAGTCTTGTAGAATGGGTATGTATTTGATGTCATTGCGGTGAAACTCCACATCCAAAAATGTTTGTGCAAATAGTCTGAATCTTTCATCGGATTCCACTTGGTTCTATGACTCACGCGGACCCATTTGGGACATAGATTTCAGCTTGACTGCAAGTTCTGCTAACCCTATCATGTTCTTACCGTCATCTGATGTGTTCCTTCACTTGTAGGCCTGGCAACAGACAATTGGATCAGAGTCCATAAATGCGATTCTGGATCCACGACTGAACAACGTCTACAATGCTGATGAGGCTCTGTGTATGTGGCGTGTTGCATTGGACTGCGTAAATCACATAGCAAAGAAACGACCAACTATGGATAAGGTATGTTGATATATTAAGCTTAGCAGGGCTGGCTGATGTGTATGTTATCATTTGAAACCCTCATGCAGGTTGCCAAGATACTCCAAGATGCGAGGAAAGATGAACATGTCCCGCAAATGATTCGTGGAACAGATACTGCATCAATCGTTTCTGGAAGCGCTGTTGAGATAGCTGTCAGCAGCAGTTTGCCAGATTCATTTTCTGGGCCGTTGAGTGGTGGAGCGGACTCTACAATCTCGTCAACATTTCAAAATGTTGCTGCAAGCCCTTGCATACAGCATGGTTCCTCAAGCCCAAGTATGAATGATGAGCCCGAAGTTCCAGGTGAGGTTGAGTGGAGCCAACGGCTGGATATGCTGAAGCAAGCAAATGCTGCGATCGGTCCCACCACAGAGTGGCCACGTGTGGATATGCATAGTGGGATTGTTCCTGAGAACGATAGTGTCGAGTGGAGCAGTCGACTGGAGCAGCTGCGGAAAGACGCTCACAAGTAGATGGGTTATGCCTCACCCCACATTTCTTGTCAGACTGATTGTCTTGAAGGAGTTACATGTATGACTTTTCCATAGACTTAGACTATTGTGCAGACAAGCACACAACATAAGCAACAGCTGCAAGCAGATTGGGCATAAAAGTAACATAACAATGCAAACCTCTTTCATGATTGCTTGCAAGAACGGATTTTAGAATATCCAGTGGCTTGCCATAACCACAACTACCGTAGAGCACACCTAGCATTACGCCTCCCATAAGCGCACTATTGTTTTCTACAAACTACTACAACAGTCAGCGCACTTGCACAATCCCTGCTGCAACCAGCTTTTGGATTTTGGCCATGACCATGGGATTCTTTTGGTGCTGCATGGCTGCCTGAGGGTTTTCCTGGAAGTCTGTGAGCACCTGGCGCATGACTGGGTCCGTGAGAATGGACTGGATCTCAGGGTCCTGCATCGCTTTCGCCTGCCTCTCTTTAAGCTCCTCTGGCGCAATGTCCCCCCTGTTGGCCTTGCTGATTTGCTGCACACAGCTGATGAGGACAAAATAACGAGGAGGAACATATAGGATCAGAAAAGGGTTTCGACCCCAAAGAACCGGCACATTAGGTTACGAACTCAGTGGCTCACCTCCTGATGCCATCCAGCAGCTCCTGGTTTCCTGGTTCCACCTTGAGGCCCTGCTGGTAGGTCTCCATGGCGTGGTCATACTCCTTCATGAAATACTCCGCTGCGCCCTTCCTCAAGTACCCCTTCACAAACGACTCGTCCAATGCAATGCACTTCTCCGCATCCTTCTTTGCCTCCGGCATGGCGCCCAACTTGATGTAGCACGCTGCTCGGTTGCTGTAAGACTGGCGGTGGAATGGCAAAAGCGGTTCAGCAAAGGTGTGTCAAAGTCGAATTGCAGGGAGGGACAGCAAAACAGCAGAGTCAGAATGGCATCAGATAAGTAGAAAGAAGGAGCCAGACAAGGCACAAGACGAATAGCAGAATCCTAAGACACGACATATGAAGGCACACCTTGACGTCTTTTGGATTCCTCTTAATGGCCTCATTGTAGTGTTTGACTGCCTCAGGAAACTTCTGCTGCTTGAACTCCTCGTTGCCTGGACCAGGGAAGGGTGGTACAGAACGGCTCAGGTTCAATCAACCAGGAGGAGCATGCAGAGCAGTGAGGAGCCCGAAGAACACCGAGGAACATGAGGATAGGCGAGCGGAATGAAGAGCAATGAGCACAATAAACACACATGCACCACCAACACCTGTCATTGACACCATTTTTTTGTTATCGAAATAAGCAGCATAAGAGGTAGTACCCTTCTCTCTTTCCTGGTCGGCAATGACTGGATCGTAGTACTCCTGCTGTTCCAGCTCCCTCCTTGCCTTCTCTGCCTCGTTGAGCTTCTTCAGTGTGTCGGGATTGCGGTGCTCCGTAAGGGCCTGCCCCCATGAGAAAAGGGAAATGCATCTATTTAGGCAGACGACCAATGGATGATGATGCCGCATTTTGGACCGGGAAGAGAAGATAAAGTTTGTACAAGAAGGAAGCGACGGAATCAGATGAGGCAGGCGCAAGCAATGGTGCGACTCAGGGGTGAGGGGGATAGGGGCCGGACTTGACCTTATTGAAGGCGGCAATGGCGGGCTCGTAGTCCTGAGCTGTCTTGGCCTGCTTCACCAGCGCTGTCCCCTTGCGCGTGAGTGCCCTCGCCACCACCTTGAAGTCCGCATGCACCTCCCGCCCCCGCTCCACCGCCCTGTCACAGTCTGCTATGCACTCTGCGTACTGGAGGCGAGCGAGGAGCACGGGAGTGAGGAGGGAGCAGCGCAGCAAGCAATGTTTGATTTGAAAGAACATGAAGAGAGAAAAACAGACTCTCAGTGTCTGCAGCATCTCACCTTGCCCATTTCAAGGAACACAGCGGCGCGGTTGGTGAGGAAGGTGACGTCAGAGTCGTCCAGCTCGATGGCCTTGCTGTAGTGCTCCACGGCGCTCTCAAACTCCTTGCGCTTGTACGCCGCGTTGCCCGCCTCCTTCTCCCTCACCGCCTCCTGCCTCCTCGCCTTCGCCTCCCTCTCCTCGTCTGTCAGCGCCTCCTCCATCGCCTCCGCACCTCCCGCTTCCTTCTCCTTCTCCTTCTCCTCTTTCCCCGCTCTGTTCTCCCCCTTGCCGCCCTCCTCCCCCCTGCCCTCAGCGGCGAACGCGGCGGCCTCGTCCGCGGATCCGGCGGAGCGGATGCTGATGCCCAGCGCGGCGCCCAGCACGTCCATCATGCGCGGGTCGCTCAGGTGCGCGTTCAGCAGAGCGGGGTTGCTCTGCACGGCGCTCACCGTTGCGCGGAACGCGGGATCGCTCAGGTGCTGCCGAGCGCGTGGGTCCGCGTGCAGCCGCGCCCAGAAGTCGGGGCCCTGCAGGGAAGGGGGGGTGAGCGGCCGAGTCAGCTATGGTGCACGCGCATCCCCGCCCGCCTTCCTCTTCCAATTCTCCTTTGCACTCACCTGAAACGCCTTTGCCAGCGGATTCCCCCCCTCGCCGCCCGCCTCGTCGGCGGCCTGCGCGGCCTTGGCGTCCGCCAGCCCCGCCTGCAGCACGGCGCTGCTGGGCTCCAGCGCCAGCCCGCGCTCGAACGCCTCCACGGCGCGCGCGTACTGGCGCAGCCCGTGCAGCGCGGCGCCCAGGCGGCTGTAGCCCTTGGGCCAGTCGGCGCGCAGCTCCACCGTGCGCTCCGCGTCCGCCAGCGCGTCGCCGTAGCGGTGCAGACTCGCGTGCGCCGCCGACCGGTTGCTGCGAGCAGGGGGGCGACGAGAGGCGAGACAGGTGACTTTAGCAGCGGGGAGAAGGCAGAGGAAATGACTGACGGGGTTGACGCTGACGGCCCGGCAGCTACCGAGGACGACTGGCAGAACCAACGACGACCGTGAACGTTGCTATGTGCGCGGTCGCTTCGCAGATCACACGAACACGAACAGAATACCGCGAGATGCGGCGCTAGCAGGTGAGGTGAGCGCGTGAGGGGCGAAGGGGCGGGGAGGACGCACCTGTAGAGCACGTGGTTGTCGGGCGCACCTGTAGAGCACGTGGTTGTCGGGCGCACCTGTAGAGCACGTGGTTGTCGGGCGCACCTGTAGAGCACGTGGTTGTCGGGCGCGAGCTTGATGGCGTCCGTGAAGTGCTCCACGGCTTCCTCAAACCTCCCCGCCGAAAACGCGGCGTTGCCTCTCGCCTTCGCTTCGTCAGCCATGCTTTCACCTTACCCCTCGACTAATTAAGTTCGTGATGACCAGTGTTGGCAGAAAACGCAGAAATGGAACGGAGCCTGTAGCTAGATCGAGCTATGGATCCGTAGGGCAGCTCTGATCGGCAAAATTAAACGAACAGAAAGTGGAAGAACCCAGATGGAGGCGCGCCTTCAGAAGAACCCATCTCTCGAACTTTCTGAATCGCATCCTCGATATTCGCCACCTATTTCCTCACATGCACACAACAAGTTTAGGATGAGCATCCTACATCAAAACTATCTAGCTAGCAAATACTGGTACATTTAAGTTGGGCTGACTTCAAGACTCAAGTCAAGATGTAAACCCTAAACCTAATCCTAGAATATCTAGGATTGTGGCAAACATGATCGTGCTTGGCAGTCCAGGATCCGAGCAACATTGCTTCACATTTTATGCCCGGAACAGGCGCTTCCAACCCCAAAACGCGGAAGGATCTGCACATGTGCAGGAAGTGCAGCGGTCGCTCTTCATTCGCGAGCGTCGATGACCGATGATGCTCGCAACCCTCCCACGCCCTTGCTGGCTTGGCAATAGGCCCAGACAAGCGCAGCCACGTGACCAGGCGGAAAAAAAACGCTCGGAACGAGCGCTTCCAGCCCCAAAACGCGGAAGGATCCGCACATGTGCAGGAAGTGCAGCAGGCGCTCATCATTCGCGAGCGCCGATGACCGATGATGATTGCAACCCTCCCACGCCCTTGCTGGCTTGCCAATAGGCCCAGACAAGCGCAGCCAGGTGACCCAGTAGAAGAAAAACGCTCCGAACGAGCGCTTCCAACCCCAAAACGCGGAAGGATCCGCAAATGTGCAGGAAGTGCAGCGGGCGCTCTTCATTCGCGAGTGCTGATGACCAATGATGCTCGCAACCCTCCCACGCCCTTGCTGGATTGGCAATAGGCCCAGACATATGCAGCCAGAAGACCCGGTAGAAGAAAAACACTCAGACGAGCGCTTCCAGCCCCAAAACGCGGAAGGATCCGCAAATGTGCAGGAAGTGGAGCGGACGCTCTTCATTCGCGAGTGCTGATGACCAATGATGCTCGCAACCCTCCCACGCCCTTGCTGGATTGGCAATAGGCCCAGACATATGCAGCCAGAAGACCCGGTAGAAGAAAAACGCTCAGACGAGCGCTTCCAGCCCCAAAACGCGGAAGGATCCGCACATGTGCAGGAAGTGCAGCGGGCACTCTTCATTCGCGAGCGCTGATGACCAATGATGCTCGCAACCCTCCCACGCCCTTGCTGGATTGGCAATAGGCCCAGACAAGCGCAGCCAGGTGACCCGGTAGAAGAAAAACGCTCAGACGAGCGCTTCCAGCCCCAAAACGCGGAAGGATCCGCACATGTGCCGGAAGTGCAGCGAGCGCTCTTCATTCGCGAGCGCTGATAACCAATGATGCTCGCAACCCTCCCACGCCCTTGCTGACTTGGCAATAGGCCAGGACAAGCGCAACAAGGTGACGCGGTAGAAGAAAAACGCTCCGAACGTGCGCTTCCAACCCCAAAACGCGGAAGGATCCACACATGTGCAGGAAGTGCAGCGGGCGCTCATAATTCGTGAGCGCCGACGACCGATGATTCTTGCGACCCACCCACGCCCTTGCTGGCGTGGCAATAGGCCCAGAGAAGCGTAGCTTGGTGACACGGCGGAAGGAAACCGCTCAGAACGACCGTTTGCAGCCCCAAAACGCAGAAGGATCCGCACATGTGCAGGAAGTGCAGCGGGCGCTCTTCATTCGCGAGCGCTGCTGACCAATGATGCTCGCAACCCTCCCACGCCCTTGCTTGCTTGGCAATAGGCCCGGTGAACTGGTAGAAGAAAAACGCTCCGAACGAGCGCTTCCAGCCCCAACACGTGGAAGGATCCACACATGTGCAGGAAGTGCAGCGGGCGCTCATCATTCGCGAGCCCCGATGACCGATGATGCTTGCGACCCACCCACGCCCTTGCTGGCTTGGCAAAAGGCCCAGACAAGCGTAGCCTGGTTAACCGGCGAAAAAAAAACGCTCAAAACGAGCGCTTCCAGCCCCAAAACGCGGAAGGATCCGCACAAGTGCAGGAAGTGCAACGGGCGCCCTTCATTCGCGAGCGCTGATGACCAGTGATGCTCACAACCCTCCCACGCCCTTGCTGGCTTGGCAATAGGCCCAGACAAGCATAGCCAGGTGACCCTGTAGAAGAAAAACTCTCCGAACAAGCGCTTCCAGCCCCAAAACGCGGAAGGATCAGCACATGTGCAGGAAGTGCAGCGGGCGCTCATCATTCGCGAGCCCCGATGACCGATGATGCTTGCGACCCACCCACGCCCTTGCTGGCTTGGCAAAAGGCCCAGACAAGCGTAGCCTGGTTAACCGGCGGAAAAAAAACGCTCAAAACGAGCGCTTCCAGCCCCAAAACGCGGAAGGATCCGCACAAGTGCAGGAAGTGCAACGGGCGCCCTTCATTCGCGAGCGCTGATGACCA